TTCTTCCATTTCTTGCATTTTTTGCTTCATTTCTTCTTCCATTTCCTGCCTTTTTTGGTTGGTTTTTTCTTCCAATTCTTGCATTTTTTGGTTTGTTTTTTCTTCCATTTCTTGCATTTTTTGGTTTGTTTTTTCTTCCATTTCTTTGAGGGATTTTCCTATATCCTCTTTTAGGGCCTCTATCATTTTCATGAAAGTGCTTTTAAGGTCGTTCTCTTCTGCTTTGTTTGCATTGGAATGTTGGGGTCTTGCTGGTGTGGAGTCTCTAGAATCTGGCGGTGTCATATTTGTTTTTCTGTTGCTGACTGTGTTTTTGTATTGTCTCTTTCCCATCTCTTCTTCTAGTGGGTGCAGAAAGAGCCCCTTACTGGTCTGGGGACCAGAGTTCCCTTTTGGTAGGTGCTAGCAAGTCCAATAATCTGGTGGGTCTTCTATTCCTTGTCCAAATGCTGGTCCCGTGGGTGGAGAAGAAGAACAGGAATCTGGGGCGCTTAGCCTCCTACTTGGTCCCCTGGACCCTATGCTGGGTCCTGTTGTACCTGATCCGGAACAGCTACTCCCCTGGTCTCCCTGCCTCCTCTGGTTTCCTGGTCTCGTTGGTGGGAGAGAAGATCTGGAGTCTGGGGTGCTTGGCTCCCGCCAGGATTGGGAGCTCTGTGCAGTTCCCAGGCGATCTGCAGGCACTGGAACAGGCCGGGAAGCTGGCCTGTTTACCTGATGCTGCCGGAGGAACAGCTGCTTCCAGGGCCATGATCTATTACAGCAATGTAATAACCATATTAACATTCCTCCAGTATTATATATAAACTATAAACAAACTCATGTTTGTAGAAAAAATATTATAAAGCACTATGTAAGACAGAAATCAAACAACCAGACAGTACAAAAACAGAATACAAGTGCCAAACTAACTGAGGAACCAAAAGCCCTACCTTTAAAGTGGCTAACAGATGAACCTGTCTGGATAGGGCAATGGCCTATGACCTATGAGAAGCTAGAGGCTCTAGAAAAGCTGATTCAGGAACAACTAAATGCTGAACATATTGAAGAATATACTAGCCCTTGGAATTCTCCTATATTTATTAACAAAAAGAAATCTGGAAGACTGAGAATGCTTATAGACTCAAGAGCCATCAATAAAGTAATTCAGCCAATGGGCTTTCTACAGCCTGGAATGCCCTAGCCTTCTCTGATACCTCAAGAATGGCCTAGTGTAGTTATTGATTTAAAAGATTGCTTCTTCTCTATACTTTAACAAGAAAAAGATAGGGAAAAATTTGCCTTCATGGTGCCTACTTACAACAATTCTCAGTCAGTCAAGGTCTTGCCCCAGGGAATGTTTAATAGTCTTACCCTGTGCCAATATTTTGTGCAAAAACCTTTGGAAATAATTCGTAACAGTTTCCACAATATATAATTTACCATTATATGGATGATATATTGTTGGCTAATTCTAAGGCAGAAACAATAAAAAAATGTTTGAGAAAGAAAAGGAAGTTTTACCTCACTGAGGATTACAAATTGCCCCCCCCAATAGAAAGAGGAAATTCTATCAATTACTTAGGATATAAAATAGGGTTACAGAAAATAGACCACCAAAAGTACAGATCAGGAGAGATCGATACCAGACTCTCAATGATCTCCAAAAATTATTAGGAGAGATTTCTCAAAAATTATTAGGAGAGATAGCCAGGCGGTGGTGGTGCACGCCTTTAATCCCAGCACTCGGGAGGCAGAGGCAGGTGGATCTCTGTGAGTTCAAGGCCAGGCTGGACTGACAGCCTCCAAAACAATACAGAGAAACCCTGTCTCATAAAACCAAAAAAAAATTATTAGGAGAGATCATTATTGCAGTAGAAGGGCATGATTTGAAAAACTTTAAAAATGATCCTAAAAGAGGGCAAGGACTTAAATAATTCATGAATATTATCAGCTGAAGCTAAAAAGGAACTAGAATGGGTAGAAAAGAGGATACTAGAAGCACATGTGGACCATGTGGATCCAAAACTAGATTGTATTCTAGTTATATTACCATCTAAAAAATGCCATTGAGGGATTTTGATGCAGATGGAAGATATCATATTAGAATGGATATTTCTACCACATAAGTAGAATAAAAAAGTAAAAACATATATAGGAAAGATTTCTGATTTGATTTAAAAGGTAAACTAAGACTTCGTCAACTGACAGGAAAGAACCCAGAAGAAATTACAGTTCCCTTAACTAATGAGGACATTTCCTCATTATAGAAAGATAATGAGTATTGGCAAAGGGCTTGCGGTAACTTTTTGGGAACAATTAGCAACAATTATTCCATAAGTGTGAGAATAAAATTAATAAAGAAAATGATTTGGATCCTTCCATGCACTGTAAGAAAATCATCAATATCTGGAGTCCCTACATTCTACACTGATGCAAGCAAATCAGGTAAAGCAGGATATAAATCAGAAAATATAAGTAAAGTAGTTCAAAGCCCTTATAACTCTGTACAAAAGGCAGAACTGTATGCCATTCTCATGGTACTTAACGGATTTTACAGAACCTCTCAATATAGTTACCGACTCTCAGTATGCAGAGAGATTTGTCTTACACATTGAGGCTGCTGAATTTATTCCTGATGATACAGAACTAACTTCATTTACAAGAAACAATCAGGAATAGGACTCATCCTATATATACAAAACATCAGATCCAATACGGGTTTGCCAAGTACTCTAGCTCAAGGCAATGATGAAATTGTTTATTAATAAGATGCAGGAGGCCTCAGAATTTCATTAAAAAGCACCTTGTGAATAGCAAAGTTTTAAAAAAGAATTTTCCTGCACTTCTGCCCACACTCAGGTCAGAGGTCAGAGGTGAGCACCACCGGGTCTCCATCTTAGACCTGATTTCCTTCCACTTGCCCTCTCTCGGATCCCCTGGCTTGTAGACAGCAGCCAGGTCCACTCCTTCCCCACCGCCCCCTGAAAGACGACCAAGTGAACAGAAGCCTGCAGAGTGAGCTGGTCCACTTCTGCCCAAACCCAGGGCAGAGGGCAGAGGTGAGCATGCTAGCCCTCTCTTGGATGCCCTGGCTTGGGGACTGCAGCCAGGTCGACTCCCCCCTCCCCTGAAGGACGACCAAGCGACCAGGAGCCTGAGAGAGAGCTGGTCTACTTCCACCCACACTTGAGGCAGAGGACAGAGAGCAGAGGACAGAGAGTATTAGATTTGCTTGCACCCACAGAAAGGGAACCCTGGTCGCCTACCCACCAGGGGTGGAAGAGACTCTTTCTACACCCACTGGAAGAAGTGATGGGGAAAAGGCAGTATAAGAACACACTCAGCAACAGAAAACAAATATGACGCCACTAGAGTCTAGAGATTCTACACTAATAAGACCTGAACACCACAATGCAGATGAAGCAGAAGGGAATGACCTTAAAAACACCTTCATGAAAATGATAGAGGCCCTCAAAGAGGGTGTGAGAAAATCCCTTAAAGAAATAGAAGAAAAAACAAACCAAAAATTCCAACAAATGGAAGAAAGGGAGGAAAACACAAAGCAAAAATTACAAGAAACAATTCAAACAATGCAATTTTCTCATAAAAGGGCACAGGCTGACAAACCCATCCTTCTGCTGCATACAAGAAACACACCTCAGCCTCAAAGACAGACATTACCTCAGAGTTAAGGGTTGGAAATAGATTTTCCAATCAAATGGCCTCAAGAAACAAGCAGGGGTAGTAATCCTAATATCTAACAAACTAGACTTTAAACTGAAATCAATCAAAAGAGATGAAGGAGGTCATTTCATACTCATCACAGGTGAAATCCACCAAAATAAAGTGTCTATCCTGAACATCTATGCCCCAAATACAAAGGCATCCACATTCGCAAAAGAAACATTACTAAAACTCAAACCACACATAAAACCTCACACACTAATAGTGGGAGACTTCAACACCCCACTGTCGCCACTAGGCAGGACTACAAGGACAGGAACTTAAAAAAGAAGCACAAAATTAGTATTGGTTATGACCCAATTGGGTTTGACAGACATCAATAGAACATTCCATCCAAACAAAAGAATATACCTTCTTCTCAGAAACTCAAGGTAATTCCTCTAAGATCAGGAACAAGGCAAGGCTGTCCCCTCCCCCCATACCTCTTCAATATTGTACTGGAAGTTCTAGCTAGAGCAATAAGACAACAAAAGGAGATCAAGGGGACACAAATTCGAAAGGAAGAGGTAAAACTTTCACTATTTACAGATGATATGATAGTTTACATAAGTGTCCCAAAGAACTCTACCAGGGAACTCTTGACCTCTTTTATTATTAATTGTACATATATACACAAGTACTATATATGAGTACAAACTTCTCACTTTGTATTTTGTTACTTGTATTTAAGTGTCTCCAGGGCTGACCATTCATTATTGGTTAACAACTGGTGGGCTCTTCCCTGGAGAAGACTGTCTCTCTTGCTCCTAGAATTCCTGGTTTGCCTGTAGTTCTTTGTGTAAAGTTGAGGAACTTTCTGCATGACCACAGAAGCACATCTGTTTTCGTTCAGGTCATATTTAGACAGTCATGCTAGTGAGACTTTATGGGTGTGGCTTCTGACACCCTCCTAAAACTCAATCCCCTATTGCTCTGCGGACATTTTGTCCGCAGAGTTCTGAGCTTTAGGTACAGGGATTGTCTTGTAGATGACAGTTGACAGAAGGCTCCACGGCTCTGCATCTTGATCGGTTGTGGTTTGATATCCTGGTCGCCGTATTTTACAAGGATAAATGTCCTTATAAGGGTGAGAGCTACACTCCTTAGCAAGCAGCTAGGCAGTTGCAATGCTCCTCCAACCATTTCTATTCAGTCTCATGAATCAGTCGAATTTTCTATTCTACGGAACAGTTTACAGACACTCGGCGAGAACGTGTCAAGGAAGACTTCGCCCGCGCGAGGGGATTGTGGGAGCGCTGTGGTAGTCCCGTGGGCTCATGGGAAATGTAGTGCGATTGCCTGCAATATGGCGGCGCCCAGGTGAGGCTCGGTGGGAGCGCTTGCCTAGGTCTCTAGGCTGGAGCCGGGTTGGCTGACCGTAGAGAAAGCATCCGGGAGCTGAACATCTCTGGTAAGGAGAGACGGAAGTGTATGGTGCCTGTTTTTAGCGGCGAAGGAAGGTCGCGAGCCATAGCTTACTCCTGGCAGCTGCGTGTCTGCTGTCCTGGCCCATTGGGCCGAAGCAGGCTGCGTACGTCTATGGGGTGTCGGGAGCCCCGCTGGAGTCTAGTGTTCATGAGTTTGGCGTGGGATGGGTGCCCAGGGGTGTCTGTGCTGGCTGCTACCGTGGTGGGAGACCGGCAACCGATTCTCATTCCTTTCCAGCCCTAGTGCATTCTGTGAAGCAAAGGCATACACACTCGTGGCTGTGCCTCTGCGAATCTGCTTCTTCTTACACTCTTCCTTGATCAGTCCTGCCTCTGGGGCAGGGGTGGTGGCAGCCTGCGGATTTGGTCGATTTCCTGTGAACGCTTTGTTGCAAGCTGTACGCCAGGTAACCAAGACTGTGTGGGCAAGAGTCTTTCTCAGTTCAAAGCATTAAGGTAATTAGGATACACATCCGGTGTTATGGAAGTCATTGAAAATGGCTGTCAAAATCAGAATTCTAGAGAAGTTTAGGAGCTAAAATGGCAAATTCTACTTAGGTTTATTTTTTAAAAAATAGTGAGTTGCTACTGGGTATTGTAAGCGTTTTGTCGGGATGGGTCAGGACAGGATGGAACAGGAGTGGATCAGGTGTTCTGGCACTCGGGAGTCACAGAATACTCAGTGTTACACAGCTCAGGTGGAAAGGTATCCTGGAGCTCGGGAGCCAAGGGTACTGAGTGTTACACAGCTCAGGTAGAAAGGTATCCTGGAGCTCGGGAGCCAAGGACCACCACAGGTTCCAGCTCAGGTAGAAAGGTATCCTGGAGCTCGGGAGCCAAGGACCACCACAGGTTGCAGTAAGCTTGGCAGCTTACAGCCTTGCCTTAGAGAAAGGCTTCTCTGGTGTATCAGCTCCGCTCCAGCAGGACAGGGTCTTCCAGCTGGGGATGTTCGCCTAGTGTAGCAGTTTTGCTCCGCAGGAGGTTTCTCGGGCGAAGTTGCTACAGTTCAGCTCTGCTCCTGGAGAGCGGAGAGCAGGGAGCCGGGAGCAGAGTGTAACAACTCCGCTCTGCCAAGGAAGGTTTCCCGGGCAAGTGTTACAGCGCTGCTTGCTCTGCTCTACTCTGCTCTGCCCAGGGTCGCCTCTGCTGTCGCCGCCGCAAAAGAAGATCTTCACCCAAAGCTCATCCAAAGGGGTTTATTGGGAGGCAGCTGGACCAGCCAAGCTGAACATACACAGGGTTTATATAGGGATTCTTGGGGTTGGGGAAGTTTTTCCAGAGTAGGGATTGGTCCGATTTCAGTGCTGAGCTCAGATTGGCTAGAGCTCTGCTCCGGGATTGGTTACTTTTTTACACAGGATTAGGGTCAGATTTGGCTCTGATTTCAGGGCCAAAGTGTGTTTCTTTCTCTGGTCCTTTTTAGCCTTTTGGCTCCAATTTTAGGGCCAGGGTACATTTCTTTCACTGACTCTGATTCCAGGGACAAAGTGTGTTCCTTTGGCACAGGTTTTAGGGTCAGGGTACATTTCTTTGGTTCTGGTTGCAGGGCCAAAGTGTGTTTCTTTGGCTCTGCTCAGGGTGGGTTTCTTTGACTGGTCCCTTTTTCCTACAGGTATCACATCCTGTTTATGGATATGCTGGTGCTACCCGGTGAATCACTAGTTCATACAGTTAATTTTCTATGGACTTATAGGAAAGGAAAATAGGTGCCGAATGTAAGGAAAAACACAGCAACATAGAATGTGTAATTCAGAAGGTTAGGGGTGTGATAAAAAACGTGCTAATTTTTTTTTCTAGTTGTGTTCTTTTAAAATAGATAATGCAATTTGGATAGCTTATAAATTCAAAAGTCATGGAAGGCTCTCCCTACTTACTCATCTACCTATTTCCCTTACTTGGAGCCAGCTCATATCCCTGGTTTCTCATATTTTAAAAACATATGTAAAGCCCTGTTTGCTAGGAATTTAGGTGTTCTGTCTAGTGTTTGCTAGTAAGTATGTTATATGCAATCAGAAGATTCACTTTCTCTGTGTTGCTTGATAAGCTTTTTTTCTTTCTTTCTTTCTTTTTTTTTTTTTTTTTTTTTTTGGTTTTACGAGACAGGGTTTCTCTGTTTTGGAGGCTGTCTGTCCAGCCTGGCCTCGAACTCACAGAGATCCCCCTGCCTCTGCCTCCCGAGTGCTGGGATTAAAGGCGTGCGCCACCAACGCCCGGCAAGCTTTTTTTTTTAAAGATTGTCTTTATTTTAGGTATATGTATACTGTGTGCATGTGTACATGTGCACCACTTACATGCCTGGTGCCCAAGGAGGACAGAAGAGAGAGGCAGATCTGGAACTTGAGCTGGTAGCTCATTCCTGGTTATGATGTAGGTGGTAGGACTTGAACCCAGGCCCTCTGGAAAAGCTGTCAGTGTTTATAACCACTGAGCCATCTCTCCAGCTATGGCTCTCTGTTTTCTGACTTAGGCATGGACACAGTACAGTTGCTACGTGGAGTAGTATCCAAAAAAGACATACTGGGAGTTAGTTAGTGACAGAGGCTTTATGTCTCTATACTCTCCTTACCAACAGAGAACGTGCTCAGGCTGGAGGAACTGAAGTACTGTCCTGGCTGGTGTCTTAGTGACCTGTCACATGCAAGGTGCACTCAGGCAATTGTGCAGTTGTCTTGATTCCTGTCTTCTTCACAGGATCTGAATAATCAGGGCATGTTCATATTAGGGAACTTGTCTTTCCTCCCTCTCTTCTCCCTGTTTCCTGTCCTTCTGTGCCTCCAGTGTAAATCAGGTCAGCATTTCTGCTCACCGCAGGCGGGGTATTGCAGCTCTTCTCATCAATATCCTACCTTGCTCTCCAACTGGCCTGCCTCACTGACTTTACCTCCTAATGTGCTCCATGTATTAGGAAACTGAGCTAAGGCCACTTTTCTTCTGTCCTTAAATTAAGTCTAGTAAATAGAGTTTTGACTGTGTCCCAGTTGTTTTGAAAAGTAATTTTGTTGTTGTTGTTGTTTTTGCTTTTGTCAAGACAGGCTTTTGCTGTGTAGCTTTAGAGTCTGTCCTGGAACTCTCGATCTATAGACCAGGCTGGCCTTGAATTTACAGAGACTTACTTGCCTTTGCTTCTGGAATGCTGGGATTAAAGGCATGCACCACCACCACCACCACCACCACCACCACCACCACCACCACTGCCCAGATTGAAATGCAATTTTATTTGAGCTTATTTCATTTGTTAATTTTGCAGTGGGTAGCACTGAACTAGAGTTTCAGTAAACACTGCTGTTCTAAAACAATATGCCAGCTGGGCATAGCAGTACACATTTGTCATACTAACACACAGAGGCTGAGGCAGGATAACCTGTGTGAGCCCGATGTCAGCTAGGACTTCGAAGTGAGTAACTGTCTCAATAAATAAAAGATAATTACAAATGGGTCTTGTGGGATGTACACTTGTAATGCCAGCACTTGGGAGGCACAGGGCAGGAGTATCAGAAGTTCAGGGATGTCCTCAGCCTTGTAGCAAGTTGGAGGGTAGCCTGGGGTATATGAGACTCTGTTTCAAATCAAAACAACAACAGAAGAAGAAAAACAACTGAAATTATACCTGTATTTCACTACTGCTGGTGGACATTTCTGTTTACCTTTGCTTTTTATCATCTTACCGAATCCCTCCTTTTTAAAATCTTTATGTTGTTCTTATCCTTCTAATTGGACATCTTCCAAATTTTTGGCAGTTAACATTGATTTTTTTTGTTTTGGTCTATAACTATACCACAAACAACAACAATTCTATTAACAGTTAAGTATATGAAGATATGTCAAATTTTTCAGGGTTTTTTTTTTTTGGTATGTGCTTGTTTTGCTCAACTAACTTAAACAGTTATACAAAACCATGCACTGTGTTCTAGTTGTATGCTCATGGCACTAAGGCCATAATAGGCGTATATACTTACTCACTTAACATTCATTTATTTTTTCCACATATTTCCTGAGTATGTACTATATACTGGCATTCCTGCTCTTCAAGAGTTTACATTATGATGGAGGACTTAAGCTAACAGATGAATTGTCATGACTTTGTATTATGTTCTGAAGAATTTTATTTTTTTTTATTTGCTTTCACTTTTCTAGGTTGTTGAAGGGAAACTAAGGTTTGTTTTTTTTTTTTTTACAAAACACAAATTTTTATAAACTAGAATACATGAATAACCTAATTGTTCCATCAGGACTTTTAAGATTTACACCTTTTATACTTTTTCTTTACAGTATTACTATGAACATCAATCATAATGGTGGCCTAAAACTTAATAAAATGGAGAAGAAGTTCTTAAGGAAACAGAGTAAAGCCAGACATGTGTTGCTGAAACATGAAGGCATCCAGGCAGTGTCTTATCCCACTCAGGTGACCATGACCTTAAACTGTTATTATCACTTGAATGTACCTGTGTCAATACTGTAATTATTATGTTAATATTGTAAAGTATATTTAATGATATGTTGCACCCATATTAGATATACATGTTGTAGGATGTGCTTGTTTTCCATTTGTATGGTAACCTAGTCTGTAGCTTGAATTCATGTTGTTAGTGTGGGTGGAAATAGAGCTATATTCAACATGTAACTCACAACTATAATAGGAAGACAGATATTTCTGGTGGTCTTAGGAACCCCCAACCATAAATTGATTTTCATTGCCACTTCTTAACTGTTATTGTGCCACTGAGCGGTGTTTCAGTTCCCAAGACTGTCAGAAGTAAGGGTTCTCTGATGGTTGTGACCAACAGATTGAGAGCAACTGAACTAGAGCATGTTGCAATTACATATTAATAATAACATGTATGAATCTTTTTAATTAATAAAACAAGTTTAACATTCATTATTATGTTTAATTCTCTAAAAGTCTATATAAGCTGGATGGGAAACCATCGTCATGAGAGGTTAACTTCCCTCAATGTTAAGCTAGTAAGTGATTGAATAGAAATTTGAAGATAGATCTTCTGTATCCTAATATAATCCTCTTTTCTTACCTTTCCTATGATACAAAATATTTTGGCTATATAATGTAGACTGTTTTCGTTAGTCCTTATTTACAAAACCTTTTCATGTCTGTTGGAAATAATTAAGTGAGGTGACATGAGCTACTGTGAGGGTTCCTGGGCTTTAAATTACAACCAAATGTAACACACTTCTTTCCTTATTTAGATATACACATTACTTTTGACTTTGGCTTCACTTCTTAACTGGACACAGTATATCTAAAACTCACACTAAAGACTCTCAGGATTATATCTAATTGTCTTGTATTTATTAATGAAGTAACCAGTAACATCTGAGTGGCCTCTGACCACTGGAGACATCAAGGTATGATTGGAGAATTGAACCTTAACCATCTTTCTCCAGGGAAGGAGTAGTGAGCTGTTGTTCATGGTTTTAAAGCCCTACAACACTTCACAACTATCCCAATGAAGGGCTAAGGATGTAAATGAAGACAAAGACAGAGGCTCTTGCAAGGAGAATGGAGTTTATTTTTAACAAGAGTGGACCCTTAAACCACCAAGGTCAGAAGCCTACTTTCCCAGGGCCCTCCGGCAAAGGATGGGCGCATAACAGGAATTAGTATTTATAGAAAACAGGAACTTGCATGCAGGCCTTACTGGGAGGAGGGGATAAGAGGTATTTTGCTCGAAGCTCCTGGTCACAATCTGGGGCGGCAGAATCCCATGGGGGAATGGTGCAACAGGAAGGGAAGTTGAGTTGATCACCATGTTAGTTACTTTTATTATCACTGCAACAGAGTATCTGACAGAGTAGGGAGGAAGGAAAAAAAATTGAAATCACAATTTAGAAACTATAGTCCATTATACCAGAAACAGCATTATTGTAGTACTGGGTCCTGTGGCCTTAGGCATGGGCGGTAGCTGGTTATCTTAAAGTGAAGATAAGAAGTGGCTTGAGAATAAGCTGGGGGGAGCTACAGCCTACAAGCCCCAACTCAACTAGCTAGTACCAGCTGACTGTGAGACATCTGACATATAAACCATACCAACCAGTGGCCCATGATGTATTTAGTCATGCCTGTGCGGAAGGTGCTATAAAACTCGAAGAAGACAGAATTGAGAGTATCTGGATATTAGAGCACATGGAATTTGCGGGAGGGCGGTGTCCTCAGGGTGAGCAGTGAGTTGATGCCTTTCAGTAACCTGTATAATGAATGTGTGGCCATGAGCAGTGTTACCCTGTGTGGCCATGAGCAGTGTTACCCTGAGTCCTGTGAGCTTCTCTGAGAAGGGAATCTCAGGAACTGAGTTATGGCTATTCTGTCAGAAGTTTAGCTGACAGTTTCTTGCTGATGGGGGCAGGCTTGCAGAACTGAGTCCGTGGGCTGATGTTCTCACTAGGTAACTAGTACTAGATTGAATTGATTGACTAGAGAAAATTGCAGGACATTTAGCTAGCCTGCTGAAGAATCTTCCCAAGAATTAATTGGTTGCTGGTCTTCTTAATTCTGTTGTTTTAGGTAGATGAGAATAGGAAAAGGTACTGTGTTTCCTTTGTGTGTCTGACTCAGATTTAGGGAAATGGGTTTTTTTTTTTTTTTGTAATGGTGGCCACATATAACTAAATTGTTATAGTGTTTTAATGAAAACACCTTATTGAATGAAGCCCATGATAAAGCAATATGAGCATAAATTTTGTGCTCCTTAACACAGTATTGTAGTAATAAGTTTATTATGTGTATCCTTATACTTGTGTGAACAAATGTATTTGGCTGCCCTCTGGGGAGGAGAGTTTTATCTTTCTTATCCAGTTTAATGATAATTCTATTACACCCTTTTTTTTTTTTAACGAGACCGGGTTTCTCTGTATTGTTTTGGAGGCTGTCAGTCCAGCCCAGCCTCGAACTCACAGAGATCCCCCTGCCTCTGCCTCCCGAGTGCTGGGATTAAAGGCGTGTGCTACCACAGCCCGGCCTATTACACCCTTTTCAAGGTATGTTATAGATAGCCTCATATTGTGTGATGAAACAAACATTAATTTACTGATTTCGACCTTAGTACAACTCATGGAATCAGTAAACTATTGTACTCTGAGCAAACATGTCTTGTGAGTTAAAAATAGGCTTCACGTTTTAATAGCACATTCAATAAACCAAATTGAGGCTGTATTTCAGAAACTTGTATGACCTGTATCTCTTTGTAATATTGTCTTGCACCTGGTATCACTGATGAAATTAGTAAGAGGCTTTTGGTTTTTGTTTTGTTTTTTTAAGAGGCAGGGTTTCTCTATGAAAGAGTCCTGGCTGTCTTGGAACTCTGTGGGCAGGCTGGCCTGGAACACATAGAGATCTGCCTGCCTCTGCCTCCCGAGTGCTGGGATTAAAGGTGTGAAATGTCTCAGGAAATAAAGGTGTCTGCTACACAAATCTAACAGCCTGGGTTCTGTCCTTGGACCCATTGTGCTGGAAGGAGAGAGGTATCTCCAGAAAGTTGTCCTTTAATCTTAACATGGGTGCTGTGGCTCATGGACGTCCATCCTCACACTCCACAGACACCTCATCCACACACTCAAATAAGACTCAGTAATAGGTGATAAATGGTGGTTTTTAAGTATAGTACTATACGGGTACTAGACTATAAACTTAAAAATAAGGAAAGGAAAATTCCCTTACTTCCCCACATCCCATTACTAGAGCCTAGCAGTCTACAAAGTGACAGGAAGTAAGTGTGAAGTTTATAAAGGAAAACAGTTTTCTTGCAATCTGACTAAATTACTTTGAATTGATTTTCTTGAGCAGGACAACCTTTCATGGTTTATGGACCTGCAATTAAGTTTCCTTTGACCCAGTTCCTTGGCGTTTACTTTTTGGTAAACATAGTGTAATGGTTATATTCAAAGTAGAATACTAATAACCAAAGTAGAAGACTAATAACCAAAGAAGACTAATAACACTAGTGCTCTCTTACTTAACCCAGTTTTCTGCTAAATATTTCTTGCTCTGTAAAGTGGGGCTTATATTATAAAATAAGTTTACTTTGTTGTTTTTTTTTTGTTGTTGTTGTTGTTGGTTTTTCGAGATAGGGTTTCTCTGTATTGTTTTGGAGGCTGTCCTGGAACTTGCTCTGTAGACCAGGCTGGCCTCGAACTCACAGAGATCCGCCTGCCTCTGCCTCCCGAGTGCTGGGATTAAAGGTGTGCGCCACAGACGCCTGGCAAGTTAACTTCATTTTAAAGATTATGCTAAATCCATGTAGAACATTGATTCTTTGGTAAAGAATGACTGCATGTTTTTCTCCATTCTTCATTCCTTCCTTTTCATGATGTTAATTTGTATTTCTGAACATAATAGGAAGTTAGACTTTAGCCTTCATTTCTCGTTATGAAGAAATGCATATATCATTATTATAAGCTATTTAAAAAATAAATATTTATAGCTTAGGAAAACTTTTCTTCTGGAATATTTAGTAAATTAGTTTACATACTTTGTGTGAAGCTAGCAAACCAAATAACTAAGGAAAAGAAAGATTTTAATTGCATTATTCTGAAATAATGAAGTTTCATTTTATTGTCAAATAATATGCCATATCAAGTGCTTGTTATTTACCTGCCACTTCTTTTTTTTTAAGAGCCTGGTTATTGCCAATGGTGGTCTTGGTAATGGTGTGAGTAGGAAGCAACTGCTTTTGGCTTTAGAGAAATGTGGACCCGTGGAAGCTCTTCTAATGCCACCTAATAAGCCGTATGCATTTGTGATATACAAAACTGTCGAAGAATCCAAGAAAACCTATGCTACTCTCAATGGAAAAGAAATCATTGATGATTTGGGGCAGAAGATCATTCTGTACTTAAATTTTGTGGAACAAGGTATCTTGAAGTTACGTACTTTTAGTCTGAGTTTTCTTCTTATAGAGTCTCTATCAATTGTTTTTTGTGTGTGGGAAGATGGTTTTGTGTGTGTGTGTGTGTGTGTGTGTGTGTATGTGTGTATACATGTATGTGATGGTGTATTTGCTTGTTGGGAGTCAAAGGCTGATGGGGAAGAGAGGAGCCCTTACTCACTGGTGGTAAGAGTGTGGGCAGTATTTCCATATGATCCCGTTATTCTGCTCCTGGTTATATACCCAAAAGAATTTGAATGTTTTCTTGTCTGTTGACTAAAGATGTCGGACACAAATGTTGATACTTTGCCTTCTTTCTCTAGATGAACCCCTTCTATTTCTTCCTCTTATTGATTCTAGTGGAGAGAGGACACCTTTGTCTTGTTGCTGTCCTGAAATTAGAGGAAATACAATTTTCTCCTGTTTAACATAATTGTCTGTAGGTTTCTTATATATAGTCTTTTTATACTGGGTACGGTACTTCCTAGTTCTTCAGAGATTGTTGTACTTTGTAGAGTCTTTTCTGCATCGAGTAACAATGTAGTCAGTGTGGTTTCTGACCCCATATCTTATTCTTTTACCCTTGACATTTTTTATTATTTAAGTTAGAAACAAGCTTGCTACACATGTCAATCCCAGCTCCCTCTCCCTTCCCTCCTCCCCTACCCTCAACCAACCCTCCCATCCCTCCACCCAATCCCCACTTGGCTCCCCAGGGAGGGTGAGGCCCTCCATGGGGGATCTCAAAGTCTGTCATATGATCCGGGGCAGGGCCTAGACCCTCCCCCATGTGTCCAGGCTGAGAGAGCATCCTTCCATGTGGAATGGTTTCCCAAAGTCCATTCGTATGCCAGGGATAAATACTGATCTACAGCCTGAGTCCCCATAGATTGCCAAGACCTCCTCATTGATACCCAAATTTAGGGGATCTGGATCAGTCCCATGCTGGCCTCTCAGCCATCAGTCTGGGGTACATGAGCTCCCCCTTGTTCAGATCAGTTGTCTCTGGGTTTCACCTGCCTGGTCTTGACCCCTTTGCTCATCACTCCTCAACTGGGTTCCAGGAGTTCGGCTCAGTGTTTAGCTGTGGGTGTCTGCTTCTGCTTCCATCAGCCATTGGATGAAGGCTCCAGGATGGCACATAAGGTAGTCCTCAATCTCACTATTGGGGGAGAGCATTAATTAATTAAATAATTAAATAAATAATTAATTAATTTTTAGAAACAAGCTTGTTTCACATGTCAATCCCAGCTCCTTCTCCCTCCTCTCCTCTCCCGTCCCCCCCACCAGGCCCTTCCAGTCCCCCCACCCAATCTCCACTCTAATCCCCAGGTGATGCCCTCCATGGTGGATCTCCAGAGTCTGTCATTTCATCCAAGGAAGGGCCTAGGCCCGGGGGAGGACATTTAAGGTAGCCTCTCCACTATTGCTTAGATTGCCAGTTGGTGTCATCCTTGTAGATCCCTGGAAATCTCACTAGTGCGAGATCTCTCCTCAAACCTATAGTGATTCCCTCGTCCTGCTCGCCTCTATTCTTCCCCCTACTCAATCTTCCTGCTCCCCCATGCCCTCCTCTCCCCTCCTCTTCTCCCCGTCTTTCTCCACTCCCTCTCCTCTCCCCCCATGCTCACAATCTGCTCAGGAGATCCTGTCCCATTCCCTTTCGCTGGGGTACCATACATATCTCTCTTAGGGTTCTCTCCATTTCCCAGACTCTCTGGTGGTAGGATTGTAGTCTGGCACTTCCCTGATCCATGTCTAAAATCCATATATGAGTGAGTACATACCATGTTTGTCTTTTTGTGACTGGGTTACCTCACTCAGGATGGTTTCTTCTAATTCCATCCAGTTGCCTGAAAATTTCAAGATTCCATTGTTTTTTTTTTTTCTGCTGAGTAGCACTCCATTGTGTAAATGTACCACATTTTCTCTATCCACTCTTCAGTTGAGGGGCATCTAGGTTGCTTCCAAGTTCTGGCTATTAAAAATAATGCTCCTATGAACATTATGGAGCAGATGTCCTTATTGTATGACTGCGCATCTTTGGGGTATATGCCTAAGAGTGGAATTGCTGGATGTTGTGGTAGACTGATTCTCATTTTCCTGAGGAATCTCCATTCTGATTTCCAAAGTGGCTCTGTAGTTGGCACTCCCACCAGCAGTGGACGAGTGTTCCTCTTTCTCCACATCCTCTCCAGCATAAACTGTCATTGGTGCTTTCGATTTTAGCCTTTCTGACAGGAGTAAGATGATATCTCAGAGTTGTTTTGATTTGTATTTCCCGGATGGCTAAGGATGTTGAGCACTTTCTCAAGTGCCTCTCAGCCATTTTAGACTCCTCTATTGAAAATTCTCTATTTAGTTCTGCAGCCCACTTTTTAATTGGATCCTTTGGTGTTTTGGAGACTTGCTTCTTGAGTTCTTTGTAAATTTTGGAGATCAGCTCTCTGCCAGATGTGGGGTTAGTGAATATTTTTTCCCATTCTGTGGGCTGCCTTTTTGTCTTGCTGACTGTGTCCTTTGCCTTACAGAAGCTTCTCAGTTTCAGGAGGTCCCATTTATTAATTGTCAATCTCACTGTCTGTGCTACTGGTGTTATGTTCAGGAAGTAGTCTCCTGTACCAATTCATTCCAGGATACCTCACACTTTCTCTTCGAAAGAGGTTCAGTGTGGCTGAATTTTTGTTGAGGTCTTTGATCCATTTGGACTTAAGTTTTGTGCATGGCGATAGACATGGATCGATCCGCATTCTTCTATACTCCAGCATCCAGTTATGCCAGCACTATTTGTTGAAGATGCTTTCTTGTCTCCATTGTATATTTTTAGCTTCTTTGTCAAAAATCAAGTGTTCATAGGTGTGTGGGTTAATGTCGGGGTCTTCAATTTGATTCCATTGGTCTACCTGTCTATTTTTGTGCCAAAACCAAACTTTTCATTACTATAGCTCTATAGTAGAGCTTGAAGTCAGGCATGATGACACCTTCAGAAGTTCCTTTATTGTACATGGTTGTTTTGGCTATCCTGGGTCTTTTGTTTTTCCATATAAAGTTGATTATTGTTCTTTCAAGGTCTGTGAAGATACCCTTGACATTTTTTAATAAATGGCAGTTTAGGCAATAACTATATGAAAAGCATTGTCTTCAAATGAAGTTTAGAAATTGACTCAATCATGTGCAAACAGAAGAGAACCGTAGAGAGTAAAGTACAGTACAACTCTGATCTTAGCCTTTGTTTTTGCATTTTGTGTGGGCCTTTCAGCATTCCTAGTTCTCAAAAGACAATTAAGAGCTTTGCAAACTGTGGCTCTGGGGAAGAATTTATTTTGTACAGGAGTTCAGGTTTTCTATATGATTATTTTAACTTGTTTTCCTGTAGCACAATGGAAAAAGTTGGGGCTTCAAGCCTTACCTCCAGGCCTCTTGGTGGTAGAAGAAAGTGTGTCTTCTGAGGATGAAAAAATGCTTTTGGAAAGTGTTAATTGGACAGAAGATACAGGCAATCAGAATTGTAAGTAAAACTTCAAGGTTCATAGATTAGATTCATAAATAAAATGTCTGGATAATATCCTGTTTCTGTTCTTGATTTCATTGAACACCATAGGTTTACTGGCATTCTACTGTTTGTTTCCTCAAGACCACTGGAAGTAGCTTGGACTTGGTGGTAGGCAAACCACACTAACAGTTCTTAGCAACAGTTTTATATATAGTACTGTTATGTATAACATTTGTGTAGTGACCAGTTCTAAACTCCAGGCTGAAGAATGTTAACATACCTTTTATCAGACCTTCCACTGTTTAAAATCTTGTTCACTTCTTGACCTGGCCAACAGGTTGTTCAATGGCAAGTTTGTGAGGGATTTGACCAGGGAATCAGAAATAATAAAGACAGGAAAGTTTGGGTCAGGAGGTCCCGCGCAAGTTATGTCTTATGCCAAACAAGCTATTAAGAAGTACAGCATATTATATACAATTTAGAGGGGGGAAACTGAACAGAGTTACCGGAACGTTAAACACAGAGGTGTTGCACAAAGGGACACAGGAATTCTCATGTGTCACAGGCTGAGCTGTCAGTGGCCTGGGGACTAATAGCTATAGTCTGTCTCTTCAAGGGGGAAAAGTCAGGTTCCCAGAGTCTGACACCTTGACTTCTTCAAGGCCCTGGCCTGAGTCGCATACTCCACCTTGCCAGGTCTGCCCCTAGGCAAGGACACAGAGCTGGTGTTCCTTTAGTTCTTTCATCAGGGTCTCTGAAAAAGCTTTAGGTTGGCCTGGCTCCCAACATTTCTTCTGTCCTGAGGATTCCTCCAAGTACTCAGTACTCCAGGACATCCTGTGAGAATGAAGCTGCAGTGAGAGCTGGTTCCTCTTTCCAGATCACTAGCAGCCTTGTGGGTGGCAGGATATAAACATACTCCTCTCACGTTAATAGGGGAAATTCTTTAAGTGGTCTAAGCAAAACACAACAAATTATATAAACAGTGGCTCATTGGCTCATGTTATTAAAACAGTACTTTAGCAGTTAGGAGAAGTTGTCATTACCTAACAATTCCTTATAATGTTGAGTGAAATATGAAGTGTTGCTGTCCTTTTCTTTCAAGCAGTTTATTTTCTTTATACAGTTCAAAAATCCTTAAAACACAGAAGAGTTAAACATTTTGGCTATGAATTTCACTATGAGAACAACACTGTGGATAAAGATAAGCCCTTACCTGGGGGTAAGTACATATTAATACAGTAAGTGGTGGCATGGGAAGAATGATGTGATACATTAGAAGTTTATAGTGGTTGAGGAGGTATGTGCCATCTGTAGGTAACTTTTTGAGATAACTGGTTAAATTTTGAGCATATTAATTCAGTAATTGGCCTGGTTTAGCTATAAAAGTTCAGATATATAGATGAAGTCAAAGCTCCTGTCTGTTTCTATTCCTTCCTTCATTCATTTGTTCATTTGTCTGTCTCTTTTTTTGTTTTTTTTTTTTTTTTGGTTTTTCAAGACAGGGTTTCTCTGTGGCTTTGGAGGCTGTCCTGGAACTCGCTTGGTAGTCCAGGCTGGTCTCGAACTCACAGAGATCCGCCTGCCTCTGCCTCCCGAGTGCTGGGATTAAAGGTGTGCGCCACCAACGCCCGGCTCTGTCTATCTTTCTATGTATCTATCATTTTGCAGCCTGACCATAGTTTCTCCTCCATCCTCTCTTCCCAGCCTCTTCCCCTACTTCCCTTCTGCTCCCCCCATCTACTCCTCCATTTATATTCAGAAAAGGGCACACCTGCCATGGATATCAACAAAACCTGGCATATCAACTTGCAGTAAGACTAAAAACCTCTTCTTGTATTAAGACTAGAGGAAGACAACCCAGTATGATTTACGGGGTCGCAAAAGCCAGCAGAAGAGTCAGAGACAGTCCCTGCTCCCACTGTTAGTCCCACAAGAAGACCAAGCTAGACAGCTGTCACATATGTGCATAGTGTGTAGGTCAGTCACATTCAGGCTTCCTGGTTGTTGGTTCAGTCTCTGTGAGTACCTAGCAACCCAGGTTAGTTAATTCTGTGGGTTTTCTCGTGATGTTCATGACCTCTCTGGTTCCTACAACTCTTCCTCTCTTCAGCAGGAATTCCCAAGCTCAGCTTAATGTTTTAATGTGGGTTTCTGCAGTTATTTTTTTACCAGGGGCTGAATGAAGCCTCTCTGATGACTAATGGCATCAATCTATGAATATAGCAGTATATCATTAGGCATCATTACATTGCCATCCTTTTCTTCAGTCATGTTTGGTTCTATCCTAGATCTCTGGGGCTACTCAGCCTCTGGGTCCTGGTGCTTCAGGCAGTAGCAGGGGTGGTGGGCTCACTTTCCTGGCATGGGTCTCAAACTGGAGCAGTCATTGGTTGGCTACTCCCATAATTTCTCACAACCTTAACATCAGTAAATTTTCTAGGCAAGACAGGTTATAGGTCAAAGGTTATTTGGCTGGGTTGGTCTCCTAATCCCTCCACTGGAAGAAGTCTTGCCTGATTGCAGCTAACATCGACTTTTAAGTAGTACATACTATGTTTGTCTTTCTGGGTCTGGGTTACTGTACTCAATAATTTTTTTTCTAGTTCTATCCATTTGCCTGTGAATTTCATGGTGTTGTTGTTTCTAACAGCTGAGTAATGCTCCAAAAAATGTACCACATTTTCTTCATCCATTCTTCTGTTGAGAGGTATCTATGTTGTTTCTAGGTTCTGTAAATAACTACTAGGAATAAAGGTGCTATGAACATAGTTGAACACTTGTATGATTGAGCATCCTTTGGATATACTCAAGGGTGGTATAGCTGGGTCTTGAAGTAAATCGATTCCCAATTTTTCTGAGAAACTACAATATTGATTTCCAAAGTGACTGTTTGAATTTTCACTCCCACTAACAATGGAGGAGTGTTCCCCCTGTTCCACATCCTGGATAGCATGTACTGTCACTTGTGTTTTTGATCTCAGCCATTCTGACAGGTATAAGATGAAATCTCAAGAGTCTTTCGGTTTGCATTTCCCTGATAACTGAAAGTGTTTCTTGGCCATTTAAGATTCTTCTGTTGAGACTTCTTTGTTTAGATCTTTTAAATTGGCTTATTTTGTTTTTTGATGTCAGGCATTCATAGACATATGTTTGATTTCATTGATCAATGTGTTTTTATCCCAATGCCATGTGGTTTTTATTACTGGCACTCTGTAGTTAAGCTTGAAGTCAGGGATGGTGATAATTCTGCAAGTTCTGTCATTATACAGGATTGTTTTAGCTATCCTGGGTTTTTGTTTTTCCATATGAAATTCAGTATTGTTCTTCCAAGGTGTGTAAAGAACCGTGTTTTTATTTTACTGGAAATTTTGTTGAATCTGTAGATTGCTTTTGATAAGACGGCCATTTCAATACCTTAAACCTACTGATCTGATCCATGAGCGAGGGGGATGTTTCCATCTTCTGATATTTTCTCCAGTTTCTTTCTTTAAACACTTGAAGTTCTTTGTCATAAAGGTCTTTCCCTTGCTTGGTTAGAGTTATGCCCAGATATTTTATATTATTTGTGGCTATTGTTGAAGAGTGTTGTCCCTGATTTCTTTCTCTGCCTGTTTATCCTTTGTGTATTGGAAGGCTACTGATCTTTTTGAGATGCTCTTGTATCCAGCCACTTTGTAGAAGGTGTTTGTCAGCTGTAGGAGTTCCCTGGTAGAATTTATGGGGTCGCTTATGTGTACTATCTTATCATCTACAAATAGTGATACTTTGACAACTTCTTCAGTTTGTATCCCCTTCCTTGATCTCCTTTCCTTTAGTCTTATTGTTCTGACTAGAACTTCAAGAACTATATTGAATAGATGTGGAGAGAGTGGACAGTCTTGTGTTGTCCCAGATTTTAATGAGATTGCTTTGAGTTCTCTCCATTTAATTTGGTGTTGACTATTGACTTGCTGTGTATTGGATTTATCACATTGAGATACATCCCTTATATCCTCTATCTCTCCAAGACTTACAATCAAGAGGTGTTGGATTTTTTTTCCTCCCAAAGGCTTTTTCAGAATTTAATGAGATGATTATGTGGTTCTTTTGTTTATTTGGTGGATTACACTGACAGGTTTTCATATGTTGAGCCATCCCTGGATCTCTGGGATGAAGCCTACTTGATCATGGTGGATGTTCATTTTGATGTGTTTTTGGATTTTGTTTGCAAGTATTTTATTGAGTATTTTTGCTTTTAAGGTCATGAGGGAGATTGGTCTGTAATTCTCTTCTTTGTTGAGTCTTTGTGTGGCTTGGGTATCAGGATGACTGACATCATAAGATGAATTTGGCAGTGTTCCTTTGTTTTCTATTTTGAGGAATAATTTTAGGTGTACTGGTATTACCTCTTCATTGCTTTTTTTAATTAATTAATTAATTTTGGTTTGGAGACTTCTAATGACTGCTTCTATTTCACTCTGGATCATAGATCTATTTAAATTGTTTATCTGGTCTTGATTTAACATTGCTAAGTGAAATCTATCAAGAAATTTGTTGTTTTTTGTTTTTTGGTTGTTTTTTTTTTTTTAGATCTTCCAATTTTGTGGCATACAGGTTTTTAATGGTTTTCTGGATTTCCTCCGTGTCTATTGGTATGTCCCCCTTTTTCTTTCTTATTTTGTAAATTTGGATATTCTCTCTCTGTCTTTTAGCTATTTTGTATAAGGGTCTGTCTTTCTTGTTGATCTTTACAAAGAAGCAACTCTTTGTCTCATTGATTCTTTGTATTTCTTTGTTTCTATTTTATTGATTTCAGGCATCAGTTTCATTATTTCCTTCATTGTACCCCTCTTGGATGCAATTGCTTCTTTTTTTTTTTCTAAGTCTAAGTTGCTAGCATGAGATCTCTCCAAATTCTTGATGAAGGCACTTAGTGCTGTGAAATTCCCCTTAGCACTGCTTTCATTGTGTCCCGTAAGTTTGGATATATTCTGTATTAATTATCGTTGGATTTGTAGGAAGTCTTTAATTTCTTTATTTCCTCTTTGACATAGTAGTCATTCAGTAGAGAGTTGTTTAGTTTCCATGAGTTTGTAGGCTTTCTTTGTTGGAATCCAGCTTTAACCCCAGTGGTCTGATAGGATGCAGAGTGTTATTTCAATTTTCTTGTATCTGTTGAGACTTGTTTTGTGACATGTATATGGTTAACTTTGGAGAGTATTCCATGAGGTTCAGAGAAGAAGGTATATTCTTTTGTTTTGGGTGAAGTATTCTGTAGATGTCTGTTAGGTCCATTTGGTTCATAACGTCTGTTAGCTCTAGTATTTCTCTGTTTAGCTTTTGTCTGGATGTTCTGTCCATTGGAACCATTTGCTTGGAAAGTCTCTTTTTCAACCCTTTACTCTGAGGTTATTTCTATCTTTGATATTGGGGTGTGTTTCTTGTATACAGCAGAAAGATGGATCTTGTTTTCACATCCATTTTGTTAGCCTGTGTCTTTTTATTGGGGAGTCGACTCTTCTGATATTGATATCAATGAGCAGTGATTTTTAATTCCTGCTATTTTCTTATAGTTGGTGGTAGTGTGCATACATGAGTGTGTGTGTGTGTGTGTTGACTGAAATATTTCTCCAATCCTAAATTTATTTTTGTATGACCTTGGTTACGTTTAAGGCTTTCATTCCTGGTGAAGCCACACAATGAAAATTTCACTTTGAAAGGTATGGTTTTTAAAATTTAAAATTAATCTAAATTTTAATTTAAAATCTTTGCAGTAAGTGGAATACTTTTAAAAATTGAGAAACTATTCCATTTAATATTTAATATAAATCTACAAGTTGAGCTTCTGGAAATAAAAAATTCACATTTCTCCAAAATCTGAAGGTGTTTGACAGCAAATATGTTGCTACCACTGGAAAGTACCCATATCTAAGCCTCTGTGATATATCATAGTCAAAACACAAGCACATCAAAAATAAATTATAAAGTTACCCTCATCCTATGGTATAAGTTACGTATGAAATGTCAATCTAGATAAGGACAATTCAATGTATATTACGTTTATGATCATTTTATAAAATGTCAAAGTTTTGTTAGTATAATTATGATTTTGCACCCTTTACTTGATAGGGTCAATGGTGTAATAACCTTAAAAGAATCTTACAGGTCTATTTTTTAATTTGTTTTGCCTTTGGATTTATCATCTTCACTTTGACTGCAACACTAAAAGCTCTGATTGCTATCATAGTGTTATTTTTATAGTTTAAGTTAAACATGAAGATATTTGAGTGTGTTTTGCTTTTCTGGTTACTGACTTTAGGTCTTCCTGACATTTGCAACAGCATTTTGGAGAAATGGTTGAAAGAAGGTTACATTAAACATAAACCTGATCAGTTGACCATAAATCAGTATGAGCCTGGACATGGTAGGTGTTCCTTTGTTAAAAACATTTTCTTTCCTTTTAGGTTATCTCTTTCTTTTATGTGTGTGAGTGTTTTGCCTACATGCATGTCTCTAGTGCCCTGGGAAGTCAGAAGAGAGCGTATCAGGTCCCATTGTGGCTGGGAGCTGCCCTGTGGGTGCTGGGAACTGAACCTGGATCCTCTGGGAAGAGCATCTAGTACTCGTAACCACTGAGCATATCTTCAGCCCCAGTTGTTTCTTTTAAAATCCCAGTTATATATTTCAGAATTAAGAAGGTTATGAGACTTTTTAAGATCAAAAGTTAAAATTCAGTGGGTTTTGTTTTTATTTTTGTTTTAACTAAATTTAATTTTTAGGCTGCTTTGCTTATTTATATTCAGTATCTGTATTACTTATTACTTGCAGTCTGTACCTCCTTCCCTTCATGAACTTCCATTATAAAACAATTAAATGGATATACACTGCTGTTTGTGGTTTTGCTTGTTTTTGTTAGAGAAGGAGTTGGTAGCTCGGAAAGCAAGAAATGTATAGTAGAAGAAGCAAGTTACTCACAGAATGGAAGAAGGCTAACTGGTTGGATATTTTTCTCCTCCTGTTTTACAATGTGTAAGATAATTCTAGGAGTATGTGTCAGAGAAAATCTTAGGTATAGATATTAGTAGCATTTTCACTCGATATTTGTAGTTAAGTGATTTTTTTCCCCTAAGGGTTTTCTTTTTTTTTTTTTTCCTCTCTCACTGCTTTTATCATAGTATGCTTTATTTTATTTTTTATTGTTTTCTTGTGGTGCTGTGGATTAAACTTAGGACCTAGTATAGCACAGATTCTAATAAAAACACAGAGTCTGGGATAAATGCTGAAAAAAGATCAGAGAGACACCGGAGCAAGCCACGGTCACCTCTTACCTAGCTAACTTCTCAGCAAAAAGGGCCAGGCTCCTGTCTCTGTCCTGCCTTATTACTCCCGCTCTCCTCCCAGCCATATCGCTTCTTTTTCCTCTGAGTGCTGGGATTAAAGGTGTGCGCCTCCACTGCCTGGCCTCTGTGGTGAACTAGTGGCTGGCTCAGCACTCTGATCTCCGGGCAAGCTGTATTTATTGGAGCACAGACAATATCACCACAGCCTAGTACCTGCTAGGCAGGAACTCTGACACCGTGCTACATTCCCAGCCCCCAAGACTGGCACAGACTTGAGCTGTTCCCTTCCCAGCTCCCCCAGGGCCAGGACTGCAGATGTGTGCTGCTGTGTCCCCATTGCAAGTATTTGAACTTCTTATTATCCTGTCTTGCTTTCCACTGGTCTATACCTCCTGGAATAGGATACATGTTTCTTCTTTGTATCTTTTCTCTGAGTTACAGTTTCTTTACCAATGTCTACTCTTACCAGACTGATAAATAGAAGAGGCTGTGTCTTAATTATTAATACACTAGCTTTTTAGTGTATTAATGGCCTCTGCTCCCGGAGTCCTTGAGAAGCCCGGAGTTTATGGGAAAAAATGGCTTGTATTCGTCCTCCACATTGATTTCTTGGGCTATGAATGGAAAGTGTCCTATTTAAACAGTGACTCCGAGACCTTGTTTAGTCAAGACTCATTTTACTTTGAAATTGAGTTATCCTGTTTTTGTTTTAGTTTAATTTTGTTGAGGTATATTCACTCTCTTTTCCTTTAGCCTTAAGAAGCAAACAGTCTTTTCAGTGTAATTATGTAAGACTGTATGCGTTCATAGTCTAAATCTAGAAGGGACGATGAAGTGATAGCGTCATGTTTCCTATCTCAGGGATCCCTGCCCATATCGACACGCATTCTGCCTTTGAGGACGAGATCATTTCTCTCAGTTTGGGGTCAGAGGTAAGTGCGGAAGCATTTCTTTTCCCTTTCCTTTTTTTTTTTTTAATCAGCTTTTCACATTTTTAGCTTGAACAGTACCTTGTTTCACCCATTCTAATTAGAATGAATTAAGATTTTTAAAATGACCTGAACAAAGAGGAATTCATGGACCCCAGACTGATGACTGAGAGGCCAGCATAGGAGTGTCAGTGAGGAGGCCTCAGGTACTAGATCAGTATTTATCCCTGGCACACAAATGGACTTTGGGAGCCCATTCCACATGGAGGGTTATCTCAGCCTACTCACATGGGGAAGAGCCTAGGCCCTGCCTGGGATGATATGGCAGACTTTAGAGATCTGGGGAGCTGAGAAGCAATGGGGCGGGGGGTTGGGAGGATTGGTAGTGGCCTGGGGAGGAGGGAAGGGAGAGGGAGCTGGGATTGACATGTGAAGCAAGCTTGTTTCTAATTTAAATTAAAAGAATAGGAATATGTATGTGAAAAAAAAGATTTTAAAATGAAATGGGCTTTGTTAGCTTCTTAGTTTCTACCAGAGTGGGTAGTTTTAGCCTCTTTCTTTTTTATGTCTGGTTTTACTTTGTAGTTCATCAGATGCCAGGAGAAGTCTATACACTTAGTTATACATTTCCATTAGCAGTTAGGTGAATACAGATGCTAGGAGAAGTCTATACGTTTGTTTATACATCTCCACTAGCAGGCGAATACAGATTTCCACTGGTGTAGTTTGGTCAATTTTTGACCTTCCTTTGCTGCATTGCCACCTAGTGGCAAAAGATAGTCAGTGCATGAAGTAGGATTGTGAGATAATGACAACTGAAATACACAGGCCTGGGAATTCTACTTATTTCGTTAATTGATTAATTAATTTGGCTGTTGTCTTTTAGATGTAGTCCTTTTGGCTTTGAGCTCCTTATGTAACCCCGGCTGGTCTGGAACTCACAAAGATCCACCTTCCTCTGCCTCCTGAGTGCTGGGATTAAAAGCATGTGCCACCACACCTAGCCAAAGGGTAGACTTTTTTATTTGGTAACTTGAGTCAGACTTTGAGAAACTTCAGCAGAGGATCATTTCTGTCCCTCCAGGTGAAGGAAAGGCCCATGTTTATTCAGGGCTTGATTTCTGTAGTTGCACTTTGCTTGAGGTGCTAAACATGCAGAACCATGTTTTAATGTGGTGAATATAAGCCCCAACCCCAGACCTCCTACAGCCAGACCTTAGTTCCTTGAGCTACATGGCCCAGGCCCAGTCCCCCAGACCACTCTAATAGTTTCAGTGGCCATTGCCATTGGGGGATGCAAGTGGCCAAGTTCTACCCTACAGAAAGAGATGAAGAAAGAAAGAAAAAAAAAGCCTAAGATTGGGCCACAAAATCCCACTAAGCCCTGAATTTGCCCCAAGATCTGATGACCCTGGAAAGGTTCTCCTCCCAAAAAATCCCTCTATAAAGCCCACCTCCTGTTTTGTTCTCTTTGCTTCTCTCCCAAGCAGAGGCAACCACCCTCTTGTGTCTTTCCCAATAAATTTCTTGTGTGAGGTTTGTTGGGTGATGTGACTTTATGGTATTCTTTGGCTTCCAACTGCCAGGATACCTTTCCTCTCAGAGCTGTAACACACTGCATGCAGTTTACACATGAACTCTCAGATAGAAATAAAAAGTGAATGAATGCAAAATAATTCTTGAAATATTGAGATCATCTGATCTAACTAGTGGTTGCTTCAAAATCCGATGTCTCTCCTGGAGGCAAGTGCTCTTTGCCTCACCCCTCCTCTTCCCCTCCTCCTTTCTCTCTCCCTTTGTCTTTCCCCCATATCTGTGTAGTTTCCATCTCTGTAGCTTGAGCACTTTGGCTTCTTAACCTCTGCTGTATTCTTGTGGTCATCTTCATGCTGTGGTTAAAGAACCAATAGTATTTATTTGATATAGTAAACCATCTTATCATTTATATCAGTGGATTCTTAGAATAGAAGGTTTCAGAAATAATGAGCATGGGAAAAAAAAAAAACAAAAGTTCTTTTTCCATTTTGCTGATCGTTACTTGTAGTTTTAGGGGGCAGTGAGTAACATTCTTGAGGTTTCTTCCCGAAGTTGAGAAACTAAGAATGTTAAACGGGCAAGGGAAGATCAGCATATCTTCAGCTCCCTAATGAGAAAGGTGATGAGAGACTTCACTGTGGGTCTATGGCTATTTTACACTTCACTCTGAGTTGCAGAAATACTCTGTCCTTGTTCACACTGTCTGCCTAGAGGAAAAGCCTGGCTCTGTAACATTGGGCCCAAAGAAGCATGTTAGATCCTCCACACTGGCTGGTTCTGAGAACAGATTGAAGAAAAGGCCAGGGAGAAGTGAGCCTGCCTGCAGCATAGTGGGTCAGCTAGCTTTGCTGCTGTCTTGGGAAGCTGTAAGCAAGGAGGTAGGTAAACATTAGGAGTGTGCTTCATTTTCTAGAGAAAATTGCTTTCCTCCCCAGGAAGTATGACATTAAATACTTGAGTGATGTAAGGCAGGGAAATCTTGCACTGTTTTTAACTGAAATTTTGTTGCTCAGTATTCCCAATTTTTGTCTCTGGAGATGTACTTTTCATCTGCTGGAATGGTAGTTTTTCATTAAAACTTTCTATGTATTAGCTAGAAAGGATATGAGTTACATTTATTACAGGCACAGACTTTATCTTAAAGATAGTTCAAGGGTTAGTAAATCTTTGAGATTTGAAAATTTCAAAATTGTTATCCTGCTGTTTAAAGTAGGGTTCTAAATCTGAGCTTTTATTTTTTTCCTTTCAAGTGGGGTTAACATTGCTTTCTTGACCAAAAGATTATCATAGGAATAAAATGAGTTAATCTTCTGAAAATAGTTTTCAAACTTGGAACCATTCATATAAATAAAGACTCAGGAAGGCTTATCCACTAAGGGATCCTTGCTTGAAACCTTCAGTTTTTTTTTGTTTGTTTGTTTTTGTTTTTGTTTTTTGTTTTTTGGCAGAAAGGGAAGTCCTTGTTCCCATGGCCTGGATGCAAGTTTTCTTATCCTTGGCATCCATGATTGTTTTAAGAAATGCCCTATAATTCCTTGTAGTGTTCCTTTGGGACCTGTCTGCTGTGGCAGCCTCCTTTTCTAGCTGCTGAAGGACAGATTCTTGTTTATTGGCAAAGCTGTTACCATTGAATTGGTATCAGATTCTATCTTGCACAAGTGACCGTCACTGTAATCATGGGATGCCAGGTTATTGAAATCATGGGATGCCAGGTTATTGGGCATGCTTCTCTAAACTGTCATGAAAATGTTTCAGTGCTGAAAGTATAGTCTATAGCTGCCTATAGAATAGTGTACAGTTCTTAGCCAGGCGGTGGTGGCGCACGCCTTTAATCCCAGCACTCGGGAGGCAGAGGCAGGCGGATCTCTGTGAGTTCGAGGCCAGGCTGGGCTGACAGCCTCCAAAGCAATACAGAGAAACCCTGTCTCGTTAAAAAAACCAAAAAAAAAAAAAAAAAAAGAATAGTGTACAGTTCTTAAAGAATAACTATGACTGCCTACATATCTTATAGTATATAGTGGCTTCCTGTCTCATTAGAATAAATTTTTCAGCAGCTTCATTTTTTTTAATGCCATTGTTTTGTTTGCTTTTGCCTTTTTTTCTCCCCAGCTAAAATCCAAGAAGATATATTTATATTACTTTTTCTCCTTTCTTGGGAAATAATTAAAAGGTGGCTTTTAATTATTAACTGTTCTAACTTAAGGTGTTCCTATTGTGTTTTTCTTCATTTTTATATGCATTATTTCAATGCCTTAATTTTATCATTATCATTAGAATATTTTACTTAAATAATATTTGTGAAAAAGTAGTGTAAGTTAGAAAATGTTGTCAAATATGTCAGCTCGTATATTAATCCCAGCTCTCCAGAGGCGAAAGCTGGGCCAAACTGGCTTATAGAGTGAAATTCTGTTACATAACCAAATCCAACACAAAGTAAGACAACAGTGTAAATGGTAGTATACATCTTATAGAAAGCCAAAATAGTCTTGACTTCTTTCAGAGATACTTGTGTTGCTTTTTACAGTTAAATTGTAGTCATCTTAAATGTGTTTATACTGTAGAAAGTGCCTTATGTGCACATACATCTCTTGATATATATTCATGTGAGGATACTTTATAGCTACAAGTAAGAAAAGCACAATTACACAGAAAACTAAGTGTAGTCTCAGATAACAAGATGTTTCCTGGTTAATGCTCTGTTGCCTAAGCTTAGTGAGCTACCAGCAAGATGTAGGATGCATCAGGACCTGTCAGAATATTAGCCATGCTGCATAGTTGCTTACGTTTTCACTTAAGTGTTTTTGTTTTGTTTTTTGTTTTTTCAAGACAGGGTTTCCCTGTATTGTTTTGGAGGCTGTCCTGGAACTCGCTCTGTCGACCAGGCTGGCCTCAAACTCACAGAGATCTGCCTGCCTCTGTCTCCCGAGTGCTGGGATTAAAGGCATGTGCCACCAACGCCCGGCTTCACTTAAGTGTTTTAAGTAGCTACAGCCTGTCCTTTGTGGTCAGATGTGTTTTAAGTTATGCCCCAGGGACTCTGTCATCTAAAGATGACAACGAACATTTAATGTGCAAAATGTATATCAAATTTTTATTGCAAATTAAAACTTGACCAGGGCATAACTTGAAAATAAAACTAAAAATTATGGCAATGCTTGATTTTTTTCCTCTTAACAATATTTAATTTATATCATAATTACTAATTTTTAAAATAATGAGTTATGGACTTTGTCTTAATATTGTTTTTCTGATAAAATATTACAATATAGTAAAATATCCTTTTCATGACTTTGATAATTTGATTGTAAACAGAGCTCCCTGCCCATACAAATTATTGAATTGCTTATGAATTTTTTGTTGTTTATTGAGGCACGATGTTACACTGTAGTGATTTTGTGGTAATCTACCTGCCTCGGCATCCAGAGTACTTGGATTACAGGTGTGAGCTCATGTAGCTGGCTTTCTAGAAGTGTGTTTTAGATCTCTGACACGCATACCATACCATAGATCTAACTATGCCCTTGTTGGTAGATTTTCAAATATGAAATGGCATTGCGAATGATTTAAATAGTTCTCAGACTTTGCTGTTGTCAACTTCAGAAAGTCTTACAGTATTCTTTGTTGTAATTTGTGACTTAATTTGCTCATATTTACATTGTATTAACTAGTGCTTTTGACGCTAACATTCATTATAAGACTGGCAAAGTGGGCTGAGATAGTAGCTGATGTTAAACAGAGAGAATTTTGGTTTGTTACTAATTTTACAAAATTGGTTAAGTAATAAATATTTATTCTTTTTTTTCCAGTGCTGGGGACTGTTTTCATATGTAAATAGTGCTGTACCATTGAGCTACATCCCCAGACCCATCAATAAATATTTCCCATATGACCATTGTAGTCCAGTGGGCTGGAATAACAGATACATGATAATAGAGGCCCCATTTACTGAATGTCCACCAGAGAACCTCATCGGTCAATATTCTGTGATTCGTTGCTTTCTGATATTTAACATAAACTGGAAACACCAAAATATATTCTTTATATGTCTGAAAACAACAATTATAATCTGGATAGTGACTTCATCTCTAGCCTCAGATGCAACTTCAGTATTTGACTCTAAATGCATCAAGCATTTAACTTGTGAAATTAAACACCGCCCCTGGCATAAAAGGAAGGCAATGTTTTTGAAACCCAGAAACTGCAATCTAACCAATTAGGACTGGAAAACATAAATGTGAGACTAATCAATTTCAAAACATTTGCCCTGACATATGCAACCCATATTTCAAGGGAAAACAAACTGAGTAACTAATAACCTGAGGTTATAAGCAATGCATTTTAGAGTGTAGAGTGAGTGCCTGTTACTAATGGATATTATTGCTCTATCTGCCACCACGTCTCTCGTGCATCTACCTTCTAAAACATTTTGTCAAAGTCTAGTCTTGGGTCATTAATTTACAAATATGAATGAACTGGAATCAAGTCTTTAGTTTACTAGTTCTTAGCCTACTCTCAGTAAAAATATGTAATGATCTGAAGACAATTACATAGTCTTTACCTTTCTAGTTTCTAACACTATGTTGGAAGATTAATAAAATGATGGGTAATGCCCACCTATTTTATTCCTATTCTTTGTCTAAAACAATATAAATGTAGGGGGCTAGAGAGATGAGTCAGTGGTTAAGAGCACTGGCTCACCATTCCAGTAAACCTAGGTTTAGTTTCCAGCACCCACCAAATACATGACCATTTGTAAGTCTGTTTCCATGGGATCTGATAGCCTCTTCTCTCCTTCTCAGGTACTGCATAAATGTGAAGCACAGAAAAACGTGCATCAAAACACCCATAAACATTTAAAAACAAAACAAGAAACCTCACCAAAAAAATCCTTTGAAATGATATGTAGCGTTAATATCCCAGCATTTTCTATATTAACGGGCAACTATCACAGCAAATAACATAATTAACAAAATGGCTGTGAGTTTTCTATACATACAGAATGCTGGCCTTCATCTCAAATATGTGTTGAGTTAGAGAAAGTAACACTCAGCTCTGGATAAAGATGGCCTAAAAGGGAGCAACATGAACCTCAGGGACCATTGACATTTAAATAGCAAACTCGGCCATAAGACAAAGATGTTCACATCCTCAAACATACAAACACTAAGCTTAAACACTTTACCAGGGAACAGAAAGGAAAAGAAACACCAAGCAGATATTCAAAAACTGCAAAACACCACAACAAATGTTAACATCAATGAATGAATCTAACTACAAATTAGACATGAATGAAAAATTACTTGCAGGGAAATAACTGATTACCATGTTTCAAGAATTGTCTTCTGACTTCACATGTATACTCTTCTGTTATATGTGCTGTGGTACATGAAGGCCTGCACTCACACTTATAGACATAGATAAACTTTAAAACTTGTTACTAGAAGCAACTATTTGGTTGCTTGCGTAAAGTGTAGAAAGACAAGCATTATCACAGTGGTTCTCAAACTGTGGGTCACAATCCCTTTGGGAGTATCAAGCAACCTTTTCAGAATGGTCACCTAAGACCATAGGAAATATCACATATTTACATTGCAATTCGTAACAGTAGCAAAACTACAGTTATGAAGTAGCAATGAAAATAACTTTATGGTTGGGGTCATCACAACCTCAAGATCTGTGTTAAAAGGCAGCAACATGAGGAATGTTGAGAACCACTGCATTAGCATAAGGCAATAATATATGAAATCTTGAGGAAGACAAGATAAAGTGTTCTTAGGACATCAAATATTCGGATCTAACACCATGCTTCAGAACAGAGTTACAGGGACCAGGTCATAGCTCAGTGGCACAACTTAGTGAGGCTCTGGGTTCAAATTCCAGCACCATACAAGTAATCATCTTAAAAATACATATCAAGAATGCTTTCCATTCCAATCTAAAAGTGATTTAGAGACTGGTTCTATTCTGATGGCAGAATGGAAGTGGGTGACAAGTAGCTGACAATGAGAATGATTTAGATGAGCTGAACCTCAAAATCAAGATAAAAATAGGATTATTTGTTTGCAAGTTATGTCAACTTTGCAGTCTTTGATGCCTTACACAATAAATGATAAATATTTGTTGATGCATGAATTGGAATCATATCTTTTAGACACCTTCCTGATCACAGCGTGGGATGGATGATCAGCTCTAATAAAATAATTTTCATTGTTATTTTGTCCTGGGTGGATTTAGGTTCAGAATATCAAAAACTATATATATTTTAAATAAGCCATGACAAATTTTACCCCTTTCAATAATTTCTTATAAACACTTTGATACAGAAAAGTTGAAAGAATTGTAAACACCCCTAAACCAGCTCCCTAGGTCCTGCAATCAACATTTTAAAAAATTTGCTTTAATCAAATATCGCTTTATCTCTCCATCAGTTTGTTAGTCCTTTTTATATTATACATTCCCATACAGCCACAAATAAGCATTCTTCATCTGTAAAAACCAGCTACATAATTTTTATAAATAGAGTGACTTTAGAGTATTACTTAATGAAAGTATTTGTGAACATTTGGGAAAGAAAGTTTGTAGAAAATTAAATACTATACTTAGATTGACACAAAGGGGAAACAAGTGTGACCTTGTCAATTCTTTATTATTTACAGCTAGGTTTTATGTACATTATCTCATTAGATCCACTGTTATTATTCAGAGTAACGGTGATATTTAATGACATTTATTTAATATTTTTCTTTTTCTAGCTTCTATGCTGTATTTATCTTCAAGGAGGATACATGATAAATTCCTTTTATCCTACTTATACTTTCACATTTATTTTTTGTTTATTTATTTATTTTATACGTATGCTTGCAGTATCTGCATGCATCAGATCCCACTAGGGATGGTTGTAAGCCACCATGTATGTGGTTGCTGGGATTTGAACTCAGGACCACTGGAAGAGCAGCAAGTGCTCTTAACCTCTGAGGCATCTTTTCAGCTCAAAATTGTTTTGTTTTGGTTTGGTTTTTGGAAACAGAGTATGGTGGTTTGAAAGAAAATGCCCCCAAAGGGAATGGTGCCATTAGGAGGCGTGACCTTGTTGGAGGAAGTGTCACTGTGGGGGAGGACTTTGAGGTCTTTTTGCTCAAGCTTCCCTCATTGTGACACTTGAATTCTTGTTGCCTGCTCTCAGCTGCAGCACCGTGTCTGCCTGCATGCTGCCTTACTCCCCATCATGATGATAATGAACTGAGCCTCTGAAACTGTAAGTGAGCCGCCCCAGTGAAATGTTTTCTTTATAAGGGTTGCCATAGTCTCTTCACAGCAATAAAAACCCAAACTAAGATGCACAGTTTCTCTGTGTAGCCTTGACTGTCCTGAAAGTCACTGTGTAGACTAGGTTGGCCTCAAATAGAAATCTGCCTCAAATAGAAATCTATCTTCCGAGAGCTGGGATTAAAGACATCTGCTGTCACTGCTGCTTACATTTATTTTTAAAATAGGTTGGTTTGTTCACTCAAAAAAGATACTGTTTTCTCTTCTGTCCTATGCCCTTTAAACTCCCATTTATCAGATGCTGCTGTCTGTAGTATTTGATGGGTTTCTAAGACAGAACATCTTCTTGGATATTGTATTTTTTGCAGGGCCATTTGGAATATTTGAATGTAAGTCAGGAAAAGTTGTTCTGTTTTCAGGGCCATCCATTAGTATCTAATTCTAGTGGGTTGTATGGCTGTCAGAGCACCAGAGGGGCTAACTGAGCCTCCTCATCGTATAATTACTTTTCCCGTAGATTACTGCTTATTAGCATTCTGTGGATAGTAAACATACACCTTTCTACATTTGCTATGTGCCAACCACCATGTATTAATTGTGTAATTCATTCAGCAATCCGGTGAGGGTTAAGAAGACCAGGGCAGAGAGAGGCTAACTTTGATTAGTAAACATGGCTAGGAATCCTGCGGGACACTCCCTTAGTGCTTCCCATGCTGTGGTCCTCGTCCTACCTGCCTTAGAGTTTCCTGGGATGATCCTTAGAAGTGTATGTTCCTGAACTTCACTTAGTGTTTGCCCACTCTGATTCTCAATATAATAAGTTTCCCACCCCAATAGATCACCTATTCTTACTGTGATAGAGAAAGTTTTAGCTTTGCTTAGCTACTAACCTAGAAATATGGTTAGCATGAATTAACCATGCCTAACCCTGGAATGTATGACACTAGTGTCAGTATTAACTCTTCTTGGTGATAACCATGCAACTTTTGTCTTTGCTTTAAGATTGTTATGGATTTTAAGCACCCAGAGGGTGACACAGTACAAGTTATGTTACCTCGTCGGAGCTTGCTGGTGATGACAGGAGAATCTAGATATCTTTGGACTCATGGGTATGTATTGTGATGACCTTGGTGACTGATAGGAAACTGCGTGTGAGACTTCTCATTCTTTTCTGCCTGAGCTGCCAAAGCCATGTCCTGTGTCTGCACATCAAATCTAATCCTTTAGGTACAAGCCTCCTAGGATGTATGCAGTTTTTTTTGTTTTGTTTTGTTTTTAATGTTACTTTTTCATTCTGAAAAGATTGAAAATTTAAAGGAAAAGGGTAAGTGTAATAGAGCGAGCTCCCTCCACTTCCACCTGTAGTTTCAGCTGCGAATACTTTGCTACATCTTTCACTTTTTTTCACATATTGTCATCGTTGGCTTTGCTTAATCATTTGAGAGTAAGTTATAGCATCATGATTTTTCTTCTTTTTGGTGGAAATGCATCTTTAGTTTTTTGAGGACAGAACATTATACTGTTAGAATTTATGTGTGTGAGAAAAAGTATGTATATATGTATGTGTGTATATACTAATAATTCAAATATTGCTTAAGTTTATGTGAATTCTTTTCTGTTTTAAATTTTAGCTGAGACAGTTCAAATATTCAAGAAAATGATCTTGTTATTATATTAGTAACCCATCCTAGGTTTGATCATTTGTTTATTTAAAATAGATTCCTCTCTCATACAGTACATCCTGACCAGTTTCCACTCCCTCCACTCCTTGCAGCTCCTTCCCACCTCTCCTCTCCACCAGATCTAGAATTTATCTTCTGCTTTAGCTGTGTTGGAATAATCAGGGCCTGCTGTAGTAGGATAGGTGGGCTCTAGTGGAGACATATTGCCCTGGCTGTTACTAATTCTGTTTTTGTGCTGGCATTTAGGCATCTGGAATTGGGGTGATTATTGGTCTAGGTTTGTCATTGTTGGGTTGCTGTTTTGTTCCTTGGTTTCTGTTTCCTCTCTAGATTTTCAGAGAGTGTATTGGCTGTTTTGCCTGTTTTTCTGGCCTGCTTGGCTGGTGTGTTTAATGGTAATGCTTGCTGGCAATGGAGGCTGGGGGAAGAAGAAGCCAGGGGGAGATGGTGTATTGCAGTGCTAGGGATGACCTTGAGTATTGGGTCTGAAGGAACAGGGAAACTGGAGAACATTTGTCGGCAGCCTTCCTGGTCTTCTGATGGTGTGGCCTGTGATTGAGCAAGGGGTGTCCACTTGTGTTGGGTCTAGTCTTCTGGCAGGCATGGCCTGTGGTTGAGTAGGGACTGTCTGCCCAAGCAGGGGTTGTCTGCCCAAGTTGGGGGCTGGGGCACAGTGCAGAGGGTGGGAGGGGAGACTGGGGAGGTGTGGTCTGTGGATTCAATGGAGCTAGTGGATAGAGGAGATAGGCTGCAGCTGGTTTTCTGTTGCAGCACTAGGGGCTACCCTGAGAATTGGGTTTAGGGGAACAAAGAACAACCTGTCCTAATGGGGGAAGTCCTGTGTATATATTGTCCTATTTGTTGATAAATAAAGCACTGTTGCACAATAGGGAAGCAAGATAGGTGGGACTAGGGGTCGAGAAGGATTCTGGGAAATGTAGTCAAGAGTAGAGAATCGCCCTCTGATCCTGGGAGGAGAGGGCACAGGTTTGGTGTTATTGGTAAGATAAGACAAAATATATATTAGTAGCCGGGCGTTGGTAGCGTACGCCTTTAATCCCAGCACTCAGGAGGCAGAGGCAGGCAGATCTCTGTCTACAGAGCGAGTTCCAGGACAGCCTCCAAAATGATACAGAAAAACCCTGTCTCGAAAAACCAAAAAAAATATATATATATATATGTATATATATACATAAACATATATATTAGTAGTTATGGGTTAATAATTAAGTCAGAGCTAGCCATTAGGAAACCATAGCAAACGGCCAACAGCTTCATAATTAAGATAGCGTCCTGCGTGTTCATTTGGGACTGACGCAGCTCTGGGACCAGGCTGGAGGGAAGAATGCCTGGTACACTGTCCTAAGTTTGAATCATAAAAGACAAATGGCCTGATTTTGATTATTTTTTCATGGTCATTAAAATATTTACACTTAAATGCAAACTAATCCATTTTCTCAAGAATTCCTAGAATTTTGAGAATAATCATGTTTTCTTTTTGGGTTCAGGTTCTTTGTGTTGTCACTCATTCTTAAACTTTTAAGAATAATGGTGTTATAGTAAGTGCAAAATAAGGAGTTACTTTGCTTATATATTGTGAAACATTTAATCTAGGAAATGGTTAGACTTCTTTGTAGTCACAGTTTGTTGTTGAGACTGTCAGCTCCAAAATAATGGCATGGAGACTATTGTTAATTATAAAAGCTTGGCCTATGCGCAGACTTGTTTCTAACTAGCTCTTATAACTTAACACATGTCTTTAATCTTTATTCTTTTATGTGGCTTGGTTACCTTTACCCTGTATTGCCCATGTTGCATCTTCCAAGTTTCCTGGCATCTCCCCTTCTTCTTCCCAGCAGCCTCTCTGCCCAGAAATCCTGCTTAGCTATTGACCATTCAGAGTAACACATCGTCACAGTGTGCAGAAAGATTATTCCATGACACTTCTCAGATGTCATTTTGATCACATTTTTTTTCAACTGAAAGTATATTATATCCTAATATTAGCAGTAGTTATTTCTGAAAGTTTGGATTGTAAGTCATACTAATATTTAAAGCTTGTGTAAGACTGTCTATTCTTTGTTACATTCTTAGGAGAAAGAAAAATAAATCTCAACATTATTTTTGAAGGTTGCCGTTGACATTAATTACCTCCAAAGTTACTAACTGACTGATTCTGTGTGTGTGTGTGTGTGTGTGTGTGTGTGTGTGTGTGTGTGTGTGTGTGTGTGCATTTGTGTGCTGTGGAAAGAGATGGAGGAAAAGGTAGAGGTAGTCAGAGATGGGGAAGAGATTGACAGAGAAAGCAAGCAGTATACTAACTATGGAGATGCTGAAATAAGCATGCTGGCATCGGAAATCAATTTGATAAAAACATTTTGGTATTTATTCTGGAAAAAAATTAAAACAAGATCCCAACCAGCTATATGTACATTCTTTCTCAAGTACATTGTAATTTGTAGAGTGTCGTGAATTTTAAAAGCTATTTTAATTCCAACATTTGTTGTGTTCCCTAAATATTGGTCTCACTATAATGCCAACTAAGTTATTTTACTTATTGTCTTCAGAATTACACCCAGAAAATTTGATACCGTCCCAGCATCTGAGCAGTTCAAAGGTGGAATAATCACCAGTGACATCGGAGACTTGACTTTAAGCAAGCGTGGAATTCGAACTTCATTTACGTTTAGAAAAGTGAGGCGTGTGCCCTGCAATTGTAGTAAGTTCCTAATTTCATCTGTTCTGCAATGGAGTAGATGTGTATGGAAGCCCTTTATGGCCATCAGTGCTTAGGAGACCTTTTTTTAACTTCCTCGATGACATATGCTGTACTCTGCCTGTGTTAGGCGTTCATAGCATTTCTCTGAGCTACCTTCATTTGAGTTTATATTCTTTGAAGGCAGAAACTATATTTTATCAATAATTTACTTGATATTTGGTCCTTTGGCATTGTTGAGTGCCAAGAAAATGTTTTATATTTTGAAGTAACAGCTAAAGTGTTGGGTTTGTAAGGCAGTGAAGCATTACTCTGCAGAAGTGAGTTTTATGGAATTGCTTTTCAGGATTGTAATTTTCCTTTTTTATTCCCAACAGACAAGTTGGAGATGACAGATTGTGTGTGTGAGTCGAGGGAGTAAGTGGAGGTTTATAGTATCGTTGGTTTGAAAACATGCAAGTATCTAAAAAAAAAAAAAGAGCACACACAGGATGCTGTTCTGACTTGTTTATATGAGTGTGTTGTTCTCTAGACTTATTTCTTGGACTCAACAGAAAATTCTTTTACTTTTTTCTAAAAGTAATAATTACTCCATAATTTGTAATGACAGGAGTCAGAGAATGCTTTTCATATCAAGGTGTTTCAGTTTGTGGTACCCTGTAACAAGAGCTATTATATTTAGCTGCAATCTTAAAAAAATAAATGAATGAAAAATCTCTTATGTCAAAGTTGGAGAGATGGTTTAGCATAGTTTTTCCAGGGTACCTCAGTTTACTTCTTCCCCAGTGTCCATGTTGTTAGGCTGTCACTCCAATTCCAAAGGATCTGGTACCTTCTGGCCTCCACAGGCACCCACTGCCCACATGGCATATACACACAGAGACATACACATGGGTAAAAATACAAACAAACCGTAAAGAACAAAGCCTCTTACATCTGAAGATGACAATCTTGTTAAAAAAGACTTGAAATCACTGTATTTGTGAGACTGGAAATGAGTTTATAAAATGTGACATTTTAAAGATGAGTCTCACACTACTCCTGGCAGCCTTGTAAGGGATAGACAATAAAGGAAAGCTCCTGTTCTCCAGCTTCGTAAAAAATTCGGTTGGCTCACAGAAACTGCTGACCTGGACAAGGGGAAGCACATGGATCCCAGACTGACAGCTGGGAAACCAGCACAGGACCAACCCAGACCCCCAGAACGTGGGTGTCAGTGAGGAGGTGTCGGCAATCTATGGGACTTCGGGTAGTGGATCAGTGTTTATCCCTAGTACACGAATGGACTTCGGGAGCCCACTCCACATAGAGGAATACTCTCTCAGCCTAGACACACAGAGGAGGGCCTAGGCCCTGCTCCAAATGATGTGACAGACTTTGAAGATTCCCATGGAAGGCCTCACCCTCCCTGGGGATGAGAAAGGGAATGGGATAGGGGATTAGTGGGAGCAGGGGAGGAGGGGAGGGAGAGGGAACTGGGGTTGACATGTAAAGCAAGCTTGATTCTAATTTAAATAAAAAAATAGAGAAAAAAAATTCGGTTGGAGAGATAAACTAGGTTTCTTAGGCAAGTGTTTCTTTGTTGTGGACAGTTATTAATTGTAAGTGAAACACTAAAAGTATTTCGCTTGGTCTTTTTATTCAGTTTGCAGATTTTGTTTTCCTCTTTTCTTTCCTCCACTTTCTTCTCTGACGCTTTTGTGCGTGTGTAGTAATTTTGGTCATTTTTCACTTACTGCTGCTCTTCTCCCGCTGACTCTCCTCCTCCCAGCAAACCTGCCACTCCTTCCTGGTTTGTTTAGTTTTTGTTTTATGTTTACTTAGAATTGCTTGCTTGAGAGTGGTGTAGAATTATTTTCTGGAGCATGGACAGCTTCTCAGTAGCTGCATAACTGAAGAAAATAACACCTCTTCCCCTAGCAACTGCCCCTAGGTCCTGTTTCATATATGGATTTTTTTGATACTCTGCTTTTGAATAAAAATAAGAAGTTAACATTGCTTTACTTATTATCTAGTAAATTTATTTTTGGCTTATTGTTTATTTATTGTTGATTGACTGATTGAGATGGGTCTTATTCTGTAAGCCTAGGCAACATGGAACTCACTGCGTAGTGCACAGTGGTGGTCCTGCTGCTCAGACTCTCAAGTGGTGAGGTTGTGGGCAAGTGCCATCACACCTGGATGCATGGCTTTTCCTTCACATTTAGGTTACTCCTCCGTCTGTGACAGACAGGGGAAGACCACACCACCCTGCCTTCCAGAGAGCAGTAAAGAGGCATGGCAGCTGGAGCGAGAACATGTCCATCGTGTGTATGATTTGATTGCAAGGCATTTCAGCAGCACAAGACACAGCCCGTGGCCGCGCATCGTGGAGTTCCTGAAAGCTTTGCCAAGTGGTTCTGTAGTGGCAGATATTGGATGTGGAAACGGAAAGTACCTTGGCATCAACAAAGACTTATATATGGCAAGTAACTGCTGCTCCTGTTTTTTTAATTTGAAAAAAATGGCGGTGGTTCATACATGAGTACTGTATTTAACATTATTTTCACTCCTTATTCTCTCAATTTGAATTCTTCTTACATTTCCTTCCCGCTAAAGTTTATGACCTCTTAACTGTTATTATCACATAAATATACATATGTATATATAAATACAGTTTGCTGAGCCAATTTATTATTTTGTGTGTGTGTGTGTGTGTGTGTGTGTTGTGTGTGTGTGTGTGTGTATGTTGAGGGATGGCAACTTGGGATTGCATAACCTATGAGTGCTCTTCTCCCTGCAGAAGAGTGATTCTTTCTCAATAGTCATTAATTGCCCATACCTCTTCAGGCAGGGCTGGGGTCTTGTGAAATCTTTCCCATCCACATTAACCTGTGCAGTGTGTTGCAGTTGTTCAGGTCTAGCCATATTGTTGACATTCCATTGGTGTAGCTTCCCTGTAATATACAGAAGATGCTGATTTACAGCAGATATCCTTTTCCTCTGGCTCTTAAGATCTTTCTGCTTCCTTCCATGAATTTCCTGCTTTATGCATCTACTTTGTCTTTCTCTTATTAGGATGCCCCAATATAGAAAACCTCTCTCTAAACTCCTTTCTAATCTATAATTTATAATCATAAAATAGTTTATTGATAATCACATTACAAAGTAAAGTCTAATGACAGGGAAAACTTACACAGAATATAATGCTCACAAAAATCTAGGTGAATTAAAAAAGAATTGGAATAGGCTTGGGGTGACACCTCTTTACATAAATTGCTTGCCACAGATGCATGAGAACGTGAGTTCAATCCCCAGACACCCACATAATGTGGGTATGGTGGCATGTGAGTATGGTCCCAACATTGGGAAAACTGAAAGGAGGAAGATTCCTCACACTCAGTAACCAACCAGCCTAGTCAATGAGCCCCAGGTGTCACTGAGCGATTTTGTCTCAAAAAACAAGATGGGCAGCTCTTGAGGAATGACACCTGAGGCTGACCTGTGTTTTCATACTTACATGAACACATGTACGCTTACCCACATGCAAACACACACACTTTAAAGAAAAAAAGATTGGCCGTGTTTCTTAATTTTTAGTCTGCAGTGGTCTAGAAACAGTATGTATTAGGACAAGGAACCACTACAAGGGAAGCACAATGGTAGAAACAGTGAAGCCTGGTTCCAAACCATCAGATATAGGTGCACCTCTCGCACCTCATCAAAAATGCTTTTTTGCAGCAGATGGAGACTATTCCAGAAAGCCACAACTAGTCCAAATGCTAAGAACAACCAGTGATGAGTTGTGGAATGCCAAGTAATCCATCTTCAGTACAGCCCCTACATCTTAATAGCAGAGACTTGTTACTGTGGCGTCCTGTTCATTCATAGTATTTCCTCATAGATTTAAAAATTTCCCAAATTTACTATGTCAGACCCAATACATAAGCTTTTTCTTATTCTGCCAGTGTCTGCTTTCATTTGTTATTGTTTCTTTCTTTGAGCCATCTTTTTCTTGCTTTGTGAAGAAAGTTCTTTGCTATAAATATTCATAGTATCACTGCTCTGTGATGACTTTTGTTTCTCTTGATTGAGAGTGAAGAAGGGAAGTTCAAAGGAGTAGGAAGGGAAGGGGAGAGTAAGAATGAATGAATGAGTCAGTCTCTATACAAGTTACTGAGACAATCACGTTTCTAAATCTGTGGTCTACTCTGCGCACATCACTAACTCTTTTTGCCATGAAATTTCATCATCTCTAGTGTGGAAAGTATGTTACAAGAATCTGCCTGGGTGAATTCCAAACAGGTCAATGGCTCTTAGCCTGGCTAGCTTTTTCTAGAATTTGTGTTATTTTAAAAAATGCATTTTAGAAGAGTAGTTATTAAGCTAAAAGTTGTGGACATTTTTTAGGATAATAATTGAAGATAGTGTGACTAATTGCTTTTTAAATGGCTGTTCCAGTTTGCACTGTCAACAACATTAAGAAGAGATTTATATCACACTCACATCACTATGAGACATTTTGTGTTTTAAAACTGTTGGGGAAGTCACAAAAAGAGAAACATGGCATGTACTCTGTCACATATGGATTTTAGACATAGATCTGGGGAGTGCTAGCCTACAATCCCATGGGACATAGAGTCTGGGAAACAGAAACTTCATTCAGTGGCTGATCGAAGAAGAGGCAGACTCCCACAGCTAAACACTGAGCTGAACTCAAGAAAGCCAGTAACAGAGAGGGAGGACTGATGACCAAAGGGATTAAGACTGGTCTGGTTTAACCCCCAGAAACAGATGACCTGACAAGGGTTAGCTCTTGAATCCCAGACTGATGCCTGGGAATCCAGCATGGGACTGATTAAGACCCCCTGAATGTGGGTGTCAGTGAGGAGGCCTAGGGAATCTATTGAGCCTTGGGCAGCAGATCAGTACCCGTCCCGAGTATACACGCGGACTTTGGACTCCCATCCAACAATGTGAGGTACACTCTCACCCTGAACTCTTGGGGGAGGGTCTAGGCCCTGCCCTGGATGAAATGACAGACTATGGACACCCCCATGGAGGGCCTCACCCTCCCTGGGGAAATGAGGGGATAATGGGGAGTGGTGGGGGGAGGGCACGGGAGGAGGGGAGGGAAAGGGGGAGGGACCTGGAACTGACTTGTGAAGCAACTTTGTTTCTAATTTATATTTAAATTAAAAATAAATAATAATATGCTTGCTTGCTCGCTCCCTCTCTCACTCTTTCTTTTTCTTCCCTTTCTCACTGCTAAAATAAACATCGATTACTTGCTTGCTCTAAAAGTTATGTTTTTGATAGTTTAATAGTAGAAAATGGAACTTTATTTTAATGATTGTTTTTATGTTTTTTTTTTTTTTTTTGGAGGGGGGATTGAGACAGGGTTTCTCTGTGGCTTTGGAGCCTGTCCTGGAACTTGCTCTTGTAGACCAGGCTGGCCTCGAACTCACAGAGATCCGCCTGCCTCTGCCTCCCGAGTGCTGGGATCAAAGGCGTGCGCCACCAATGCCCAGCATTGCTTTTATGTTTACTTCTACTTCCATAGTCACATATTTAGTGTTTTGGTTTGTTTTATTTTTCTTTGAAAATTTTAAAAATAAAGAAGTTTAGCCGGGAAGACATTCTGTGGGTAAAGTGCTTGTCACACAAGCAAGCAGACCTGATTTGGACTCCCTAGAACAAACACAAAGCCCTGATGTGGTAGCAGGTGTCTGTAGTTCATGCTTTTCTGAGGAGATGAGAGGTGGAGACAGAGACAGGAGAATTCGTGGGAGGTTGTGGGTCAGGTAGCCTGGTGTGCATGCCAGTGAAACAAGAGACTCTAAGTCAATCAAGGTGGAGGTCAAGGACCAACACACATGCATGGCAGCATGCCTGCACATGAACATACACACATATATGCACGTAACAAATACATAAATAGAGCAAAGAAAGTATTTTTAAGGCTAATGTGAATTTTTATGTCATTGATCTCCAACACAATGAAATAAGTAGCTTTGCAAGAGTTCTTAAGCTTATGTTTTTTCTTATAAATAGGTAGTCTTTGTGCTGTGTTGTGGACATTGTATACAATTATTATGAAGAATTTCAAATACATGATATAAATACCCTTGGTATTTATAAAAGGAAAAGAAAAAATAAAACAACATGATATATAGCTATGGCTTGTGGAATACTCCAGCAGAACAAATTAAAGATGAAAGTCTTCAGCCAGGCCTGGGCCACTTCTCCATCAGTGGGGTTTGTGTGACACGTTGCCTGTGTTTTCTCGTTAGTGAAAAGGTGTGTTGTGTCCAAACTGTCAAAGCCATCTGATGAGAGGACAGAGACATTTCCTCTTATTTTGCTTAGCTACTGCTCTGATTTTCTTCATTGTTCTTAGCAACTTCCTTCTGAATAAGCATTGAGCCCTACTTTAAAAGCTGTGTTTTATAGTCAGGTGGGTATCTTTCTGTTGCATTTTAGTAAGATTCAGTTTCAGCCACAGCGAGGCGTACTTATGACTTCTGCTTGTAATTCAGAAAGAACTGAATTCAAGTGTAAGAAAATGTGGCCAACATAAAATTCTGTGTATTAGTTCAATGGTGCCTCTATTTCTGAGTTTGTACTTACTGGCTGAGTTGTATAGAATATAGATGAAAATAAAAAGTGTGATCAGCCAGGCGAGGATGTTAAGTAAAGGGAAGAGTTACGAATGGTGCCAGTGCTGCTATTAATGGCCCCTTGGAACATGCTCTTACTGAATTATACCTAGAAAAGATCACTGTACTTTATCTCTAATTGGGAATCTTTAACACACTTCATAAACTAAAGCAGCTCTAAGGATTGAATATAGACATCATCTAATACCAACTGGGAATCAAGCACACTTAATAACTATAACAGGGATGTCAGTGTGGTTTTGATAAGAAAATTCATGTTGTTTATTGTCAGAAGGACGACAGTAGACTTTCAAATTAATGTCCTTTATGATGAAAAAAGAAATGAGTAAATATGAGCTCAAACTGGCCACTGTTTTTGGATTAAATCTGCCACGTTAGTTACGAGTTTTTGATATTTTGTTTGCTTGGGGTTTTGTTTTGTTTTGTTTTTGTGTTTTGAGACAATATTTTGCTATGTAACAGCTCTGGCTGTCCTGGAACTCAGTTTGTAGATGGACCAGGCTGGCCTTGAACTCACTGAGATCCACTTGCCTCTGCCTTCTCTGAGTGCTGGAAATGAAGGCTAGTTACAAGTTTTTACATAGTGAAAGTCATTGCTCATTATTGGGTTGGGTTATAAAGAAATATCTGGGTACAATTATTAAATGGTTGGTTAGCATTCCTTGAGTCTTTTCTATGTCTTCTATAGCTTACATGTGCATATCACAGTTATATCTGTGTAGATATGCATGTTTATATACATGTATTTCGTAGTGCATAAGTAGCTGAGTGTTTATTTTTCCCTTTTTTAAAATTTAAATTAGAAACAATCTTATTTTATATATCAATCCCAGTTCCCCTTCCCTTCCATCCCCCCATGCCCCCACCGACCCCCATCCATCCCTTTTCTGCTCCATAGAAAGGGTGAGGCCTTCTATGGAGATCATCAAAATCTATCACATCATTTTGGGCAGGACCTAGGCCCTCCCCCGTGTGTCTAGGCTGACAGAGTATCCTACTGTGGGGAATGGGCTCCCAATGTTCATTCGTACACTAGGTGTAAATGCTGTTCCATTACCAGAGGCCCCATAGACTACCCAGGCCTCTTAACTGACACCCACATTGAGAGGCTCTGGAACAGTCCTGTGCTGGTTTCTAAGCTGTCAGTCTGGGGTCCATGAGCTCCCCTTGTTCAGGTCGGCTGTTTCTATGGGTTTCCCCAGCATGGTCTTGACACCGTTGCTCATTGGTCCTGCCTCTCTACAACTGAATTCCAGGAATTTGGCTCAGTGTTTAGCTATGGTGTCTGGATAAAGACTCTAGGATAACATATAAGGTAGTCATCAATCTCATTATCAGGGAAGGGCATTTAAGATAACCTCTCCCCTGTTGCTTAGATTCTTAGTTGGGGTCATCCTTGTAGATCTCTGGACATTTCCCTAGTGCCAGGTTTCTCTTTAAACCTATAATGGCTCCCTCTATTAAGGTGTCTCTTTTCTTGCTCTCCTCTATTCTTCCCCCATTCAATCTTCCTGCTCCCTCATATCTTCCTCCCCCTACTCTTCTCTTCTCTTCTCTCTTCTCTTTTTACCAATTTGCTCAGAAGATCTTGTCCCCTTTCCTCTTCTCTGAGGGCCATGTATGTCTCTCTTAGGGTCCTCTTTGTTTCCTAGCTTCTCTGGAGGTGTGAATTGTAGACTGGCACTCCCCTGATCCATGTGTAAAATCCATGTATGAGTGAGTACATACCATGTTTGTCATTTTGTGATTGGGTTACCTTACTCAAGATGGTTTCTTCTAGTTCCATCCATTTGCCTGTGAATTTCAATATCCCATTGTTTTTCCTCTTGCTGAGTAATAAGCCATTGTGTTAATGTATAGTTGGGTGTTTATATATATGGTACTAAACAGGAAAGCTTATACAGAAACAACAAAGCCATATTGAAAATGGGAAGCTCTCAGACATTTTCACAGAATCAGAGGTGGTCATGGGGCTCATTGTGCTTTATTTGCATGGGGGGCTGGAAATGTTTGCTCCGCTTGCTGCCTTCAGTGACACCATTCCCTGAGGATGTTTACAGAAATTTACAGAAAGGTTTAAACAAGCTGAATTTTACAAACTGAATTCAGTACTTTGTTCTTTGTAAGGCTATGAGTTTAACAGAAAAAAAAAGTCTTAATGGCTTTAAAAATTGAAATAATCTTTAACAAAAATTAAAAGCCAAAAAACAACCTCAACAACAAACAGGGTTTCACTGTGTAACACTGGCCTTGAATTCCTAGAGATCTGCCTGCCTCTGCCTCCAGTATGCTTGGATTAATGTTGTGTGCCACCGTATCTGGCCTAAATTTTCTTTTTTGTTTGGTAATGACTGATATTCCTGACTACAGTCATGAGTTTGTACTGACTATTATGACTTGTAATGTGTTTTCTGCTTATTTCTATGAAGCTTGTGTGGTTAGTCTTGTGATACGTAATCTAAATGTTATAAATTTTTCCCTATCACAGGTTGGGTGTGACCGTAGCCAGAACCTTGTAGACATTTGTAGAGAGAGGCAGTTTCAGGCCCTCGTCTGTGATGCGTTGTCACTTCCATTCCGAAGTGGCTCTTTTGATGCTTGCATCTCCATTGCTGTCATTCACCATTTTTCAACCGTGGTGAGTATTGCTTTTCTCTCTGTAAAAGCTTGTAACTGTAGTGGCACGAAAAGTTTGTGGTGTAAGTCAAAATAAGCCATTCCTTAAATATTTTTCTTTTATTTTTCTAGTTTTTGTAATGGTTTCAACATGATGTATCCTCCTAAAATAAATAAAAAAAGTCTCTTGTGTTGAAGTTTTGGCCCCAAGCTAGTGGCTCTCTTGGAAGGTGATTGACTGGGTCATGAGGGTGCTAATTCCATCAATATGTTAATTCATTACTTTATGCTATGTAGACTATGCGGAGATGGGGCCTGTTTTGAAGTAAGAAGCTTACCAATAGAGTGACTTTGAATGACATATTTCTTCCTGGTTCCCTTCCTCTCTCTGCTACCTGGTGAGCAGCTCTACCAGGATATGTTCTTCTCTAATAAGCCCATCTAAGCCCTAGGAACAAGAAGTCAAATGGCTGTGAACTGAAAGTCTATGAACTAAAATACATCTTCATTTTATATTGCTTTCCTCAGGCATTTTACCACAGTGACAAAATTGATAATGGTTCTCTTTGATTATGTACCTCATAGCCTTAATGTAGTTTTTCCTCTTCCTTTAGTTTGCTGGTTAGATATTCTTTGGTTATTTTTAATGGTCACCATGGTGCCCAATATATACCCATGACATTAGTCTACCTTGTGTTGTTTTGCTGAGTTCTTCTAGCAATATCAGAATAACCCTTAGCTTCTCTAACTTCCATCATGGTATTATTTTATATTATTTTTGTTGTTTTAAGTTTTTGATATTTATTTGAACTTCAATATTTACTCTTTCTAGTCTTCCTTCTTTAAAGCATGTTTAAAGGTCTCTAAAAGACTAGCTTTCTTTTGCTTGAATTCTCTTTGCTATTTTCATTTAAGTATTTATTTAGGTATTAAATGTTTAGATATTGACAGATATCCTCTTCTTGTATAATCAAACTCTATTTAAAAATGTTATTTTGACTATTTTGAATTCTAAATCAATGATAATTTCTACATTTTGTTATCCTTTCTTTAATTTCTGCTTTCATTCTTGGAATTTATGCTGGCTTGAATTCTAGCTCAGTAATTCTCTGTGGAGATACATGTAATTTACTGTTAAATTCATGTGTTTTGTACTACCTTAACATTTATTTTATATCTTCATTGAAATTTTTTTTCTAGTTGTATGGACACAATTAGCTTAGTTATTTTAAAGTCTTTGAAGTTTTACTTATTTATTTTATTTGATGGAAAATAAGGCTTTTCTTGTTTTATTCTTGACTGGACACATGTTAATAGCTGTTTCAACATTAATAATCTAAGTCATTGCAAAGTAATTGAAATGATGATATATAAAATCTTTAATTTTACATGTGTGTGGGTAGATGTGAGTGTGCACTTGCCACAGGGTACATGTGTAGGTCAGAGAACAATTTTGAGAGTGAATTCTCTCCTTCCAACATACTGGTTCTGGGAATTGAGTAGTGGCAAGAGCTTTTACCTACTGTGCCATTTCCCTAGCCCAAGATATACAATGTTTAGTTCTTAATTACCGGATGTAAATAACTGTGTGTTTCTATAGTATAAGAGAGCTAGTATATTTAATTTTGATTAGCTAAACTTTGTCTCATATATAGAAAATAGAGGAAAATAACTACGAAATATTAAGATGAAAACAATTGCGGAAACCCAATCTCATTTCCAAGTTGTACATCTCTTTTATTTGAATTAATAGAAACAAATTAACTGTAAGAAATGTGAGAAACTGACAAAACAATTTATGAGATCAATAATAACTCATATTGTTAAATGTGTTATATTGGTTTTAATCCGTATAGAAACTGAAATACATGAGTGATGGCATTACCATGGAGCCTACTCACTGAACTTGAATTCAGTTCTCAAATGTTGAAACAGTTGCCTTGTTGAAACACTTGTGGATTTGGAACGTTTTGGTATATAATTTTACATCTTTTATAAAAGGATAGATAATAGTGAACAGAGTATCTCTGCACAAAGACTGTACCTCGTGATTAATTGGTGGTAGGAAAGTGTCTAAGCTTAATGAAAATAATAATAAATATCTCCTTTTCTGTCTGTAAAAACTGAGGGTAAGTTTTCTGAGAATACATAATCAATTGAAAACAGACCTCGACAGGCAGCCTCTCTGAAGCAAAAGCTATTTTACTACTTATTTCTGGAAGTGCTAGTTACAAAGAATCCAGATAACTATGAAAAATATACTCCAGAATTAAATATGTAAAAGTTCTCTTCATTTTCCTACTGAAAAAAGAAAAAGAATTTCCTAAATTGATTCTCTCTCTCTCTCTCTCTCTCTCTCTCTCTCTCTCTCTCTCTCTCTCTCTCTCTCTCTCTCTCTCTCTCTCTCTCTCGTAGTTATATACCCTTTCTTTTATGTATACTAAAATACTCCTGGTATTAGAGAGGTTATTCAGTAGTTCAGAACACTTTCTGTGCAAGCATGAAGACCATAGTTAACATCCTAGTACCCACTTAAAAGCTGGACATGGACCCCCCCCCATCTCATACACACACACACACATACACACACACACACACACCTGTAACTCCACTTAAAAGCTGGGCATGGACCCTCCCCCTTTCTCATACACACACACACACACACACACACACACACACACACACACACACACACACACACCTGTAACTCCAGTGCTGGGGGTGAGAGAGGCAGGAGGATTTGGGGGTTACTGGCTGGCAATCTCACAGGCAGTCTAGCTAGCTTTAAGTTCAAAGGACCATTTGTCTAAAGGGAGCAAGGTGGAAAGGGATAGAGATAGACGCCTGGTGCCTTCTTCTGGCTTGGGGGTTTATTTTTCTAGTCTGTCTTTTCCTCTGACTCATATACCTCATGTTTATTATTATTACTGTGTTGCTATTATTGTTATTATTTCATTCTGGACATTTTTTAAAATAGTATAGATTCTTCTGTCCTCTCCCAAAGGGCAGTAAATTAAGACCAGCAAATACATATAAGCTGATTGCCTTAATTCTTCAAGCATTGGCTTTGTGCTCTACTATGGCCAGGTTTTAGCTATTGTTTCTAACCCTCCTTATGGTTCCGAGATAAGCTTTGTTTATATTTGTGCCATTGTACCTTGAACACCCTAAGGTCATCTTCTGTCTCCAGCATTGTTTGATTTCTGAAGCCTTTGCTTTGCTTTCCAATCCCTGCTGAGGTTCTTGAGTCTCACCCAGTGCTCATGCAGTGGGGAACTTGAAGATGCCTGGGGAGGACTTCACAAATAGTCTTTGGAGGCAGTCCCTGCAGTTGCTCCTTTGTCTGCGATTCTGTCCCATGCATTCCAGCTGCTTTGACTTCCTTGTGCTCAGCTTCTTGTGTCTTCAGGTCAGGGAATCTTCCTTCCTTCCTTCCTTCCTTCCTCCTTCCTTCCTTCCTTCCTTCCTTCCTTCCTTCCTTCCTTCTCTACTTGTAATCTATTTCCCACACTATAAATTAAATTCATTCAGGTCTAGCCTGCAGGCTTGCTTGCCAGTGCCTGAGGCAGATATTTTATGTATAATTTGAGGCATCTCCACACAGTCCTGAATTTAATTATATTTTTCACTTCCTCTGTCTTCTCTGGATTAATAAATGACCGCCATTTCATTTTAAATTTTCTTTAGGAGCGTAGAGTGGCAGCTCTCCAAGAACTTGCCCGTCTCCTGAGACCTGGAGGGCAGGCCCTCATATATGTCTGGGCAATGGAACAAGAATATAAAAATCAGAAGTCCTCATACCTTAAAGGGAGCAAAACTAGCCATGAAGATGAAGAGGAGATAAACAGTGATACATCTACTGAAGGACTGCCAGTAAATCACATGCCTGACGGAGGCAGTGAGGACCCAGGATCATCTGTCCCCTCCGCTGTTAACATCAAGGAGGAAGGATGTAATCCACGGAAAGTTGAGCTTCCTGTTCATACAAACAGGACTTGTTTTCATTCCCAAGATGTGTTGGTTCCCTGGCACCTCAAGGGAAACCCTGGTAAAGACAAAACTGTTGAGCCATTTGGCTTAGCAGGATGCCCTGACCCAAGTCCCGTGTTTCATCGTTACTACCATGTTTTCTGTGATGGAGAATTGGAGGCTTCCTGCCAGGCTCTGGGTGATGTTAGCATTCTGAAGAGCTACTATGATCAAGGGAATTGGTGTGTTGTTCTTCAAAAGCTCTGATCATTTATGTGAACATATTCAAGTGTAAAGAAAGAAAATGCCTATTTGTTTTTTAGAAGGAGGCTAAATTATCATTTTAATCAACGAGGAAACTTGGGGGTGGGGGGCATTACCAAAGGAGAGCTAAGAGCAGAGTTTACTTAGGTAACATTCTGTCTGCTACTGTTACATGCCTTTTAAGTATGGTATTTAAAAGTGATTGGCATTAACTTGTGGAAAGTATGTGATCTTTGTGTAAGGGTACTGCATTTTGAAGATAAGCTTTTGTTATAAAGTGTTTATAAAGATCCTAAACTATGTAGGATCATAATGAAGCAATTATATAATTTAATGAAATGAGTAATTCTGGGCAATAGGAAATTATCTGAAGTTTTATCTACAACTGCCTGTTCCCAAATAATCATAGTAACTTTGTCACTGCATCTTTCTAGAACATTGTGGATGCCAGTAAAACTTTAGCCAGATTTAAGAGAAACTTAATTGAACAGATAATCATGAATTGCCTATTGTTTACTACTATGTACTAGGATTGGAGTTATGAACAAGGAGGTTTTGGTGCAGCTCATTGAAAGACTATGTGTTTCTACTTGAAGCCCTGGATTTAATACCCATTATCACAAACACAAACCAGCAGAAAACAAGAGCAAAGCCCTTATGCCTAGGACGCTTACCTTCTAGAAAGGGAGGTTGACAAAACAAACAAGTGAATATTGTGTTCATGGTAATCATAAATGCCATGGTTAAAAAAAAAAGTGAACTGGAGGCTGAAAGGTATATTAACCTTTGAGCAAAGATTGCTTTTTCATGACTGAAATAACTACCAATCCTGACTGATTTATTACCAGGAATTACTATTCCTGATCTATTGGTCTAAGCTCTGAAGACAACTCAAATAATTCCCTTTAACAGTTAAATTGAAAAAATTAAAATGTTATCAGCCATACCAAACTTTGCTCTTTCAGTCACAATTGGCTGTTTTTCCTTATTCATATTTTGTCACAATCCAGGAAGAATGAAGGCATTTTTATCTAGTAAGTGAAACCAAAAGCATGTTCTTGGCTACTACTAGTAAGATGGATCAATATCTAGCCAGACTGAGCTGACCAGGGAGAAACTTTTATGATTTTTATATAAAAAAAACATAATTTAAAGAAGGGAGTTAACATAATTGAGGGAACCATTATAGGTCTAAAGAGAAATCTGGCACTAGGGAAATGTCCAGAGGTCTACAAAGATGGACCCCAACTAAAAATCTAAGCAATAGTGGAGAGGCTACCTTAAATGCCCTTCCCTGATAATGAGATTGATGACTGCCTTATATGCCATCCTAGAGCCTTCATCCAACAGCTGATGGAAGCAAAGGCAGACACCCACAGCTAAGCACTGAGCCAAACTCCTGGAATCCAGTTGTAGAGAGGGCGGAGTGATGAGCAAAGGGGTCAAGACCAGGCTGAAGAAACCCATAGAAACAGCTGACTGAACAAGGGGGGGCTCATGGGACCCCAGTCTGATAGCTGGGAAACCAGCATTGGACCAACCCAGACCTCCTGACCGTGAGTGTCAGTTGAGAGGCCTGGACAGTCTATGGGGCCTATGGCAGTAGATCAGTATTTATCCCTAGTATATGAAGGGACTTTGAGAGCCCATTCCCCATAGAGGGATACTCTTTCAGCCTAGACACATGGGGGAGGGCCTAGACCCTGCTCCAAATGATGTGACAGACTTTGTAGATTCCCCATGGAAGGCCTCACCCTCTCTGGGGAGCAGAAAGGGGGTGGGATAAGGATTGGTGGGAGACAGGGGAGGAGGGAAGGGAGAGGGAACTGGGATTGTCATGTAAAACAAGCTTGTTTCTAATTTAAATAAAAAAGGAAAAAAAAGGAACATGTACATGTTTTAAGACCATCACTTGATTAAAAAATGTTTATAATTAACAAATTAAAAATTGTAGTAGGGCCCTTTCAAATGAGACTTCTATTTGCATATACAATATTCATTTTCTTTTCTATTTTTCACAAGGATATCAGGTAGTCCAGGTTGGCTTCAATCTTGCTATATACCTGATTTTCCTGCTTTCACCTCCTCAGACCTGGGATTATAGGTACCACCACAGTAGCCTAAGTATAATTTAAATATATATATATATATATATATATATATATATATGTGTGTGTGTGTGTGTGTGTGTGTGTGTGTGTGCATATTGAAAAATTAAGATGTTGTTTATATATTAAAGCAGCAGTTCTTAACCTGTGGGTCATGACTCCTTAGCAGCCAAACCACACTTTCACAGGAATCTCCTAAGACTATCAAAAATATTAGATATTTACTTTAGTATTCATAACAGTAGCAAACTTGCAGTTATGAAGTAGCAATGAAAATAAATTTATGGTTGGGAGTCACTACAATATGAGGGATGGTATTAAAGAATTGAATCATTAGGCAAGTTGAGAACCACTCTATTAAAGGAACATAAGGACCAGTAAGATGCTTAGTTGATACAGTTGTTTGCCATCAATCCTAATACCCTGGGTTCAGTTCCTAGGACCCACATGATAGAAGGTGAAAACAGAATCCCACAAATTGTCTAAATTGTCTTCTGACCTTTGTATACACATGTATACACAGGAACACACACACACACTACATATATATATATGTATACTTTTTTTTTGAGATGGGATCTCACTTTGTAATTCTGGCTATCATGGAACTAAAATGATCAGGCTGGTTTTGAACCTGTAGAGATCTGATCTCCTCTGCCAAGTGCTGGAATTAAATTCATGTGCCACCACATTTGACTAAATACATTTTAAAAAAACAGATATAAAGTCAGGTGGCATTGGCTTACACCTCTAATCCCAACACTCAGGAGGCAGAGGCAGGAGGATCTTTGTAAATTTGAAGCCATTCTGGTCCACAGAGCAAGTTCCAGTACAGCAAGAGCTACTCAGAGAAACCCTGACTCAAAAAAGAAGGAAGGGAGGGAGGGGAAAATGAGAAAGAGCAAGAGAGAGAGAAAAAAGACACTAGCTTAAAGATGGAGTTCCTGTCCCACCAGGACCTGTAGCCCTGTAATCCCAAATAAACACACAGAGGCTTATATTAATAATAAACTGTTTGGCCGATGGCTTAGGCTTCTTATTGACTAGCACTCTCAGTTATTAACCCATATCTATTAATCTGTATATTTGCACATGATCTTAGGCTTACAGGTGCCATGACACTGTGGCTTACCCATAATGCTCCAGCATGTTACTCTTTCAGTGACTACTTGGTGTCTCTGACATCTCCTCTCTGACTTTATTTTCTCGGAATTTTCCTAGTCTGGTAGCCCCGCCTGTATTTCCTGCCTGGCTACTGGCCAATCAGTGTTTTATTCATCAACCAATAAGAGAAACATATTCAAAGCATACAGAAGGACATTCCCCATCATTACCTGGTCCTAAATCAAAATTTGAATATTTTGTTTGTGAATTTAAGTTTAGAGGTAAACAACTTAGCTATGCTGATTGACCATAAGAAGAAAATTTCTTACAATTTATATTGATTGACTCTTTAGGCTAATTGGAATATTTCTTTATTCTTGGATATTTTAGAAAGAAACTTAAAGGTAGGCATAAGTGTTGTCTGCTCAGCAGTCTGAGCCCCAGAGGTCAAAACTGGCTATCATTACATAGTGAGACTGTCAAAAGAGTAAAACAGAAAAATAAGGTAAATCTCTTCTGTGTATCATTTTCATCATTTCTTCTTCCTTGAAACGGCATCCTTGGGTGTCCATCAAGAGTATAGTAAAATGTAAGTTCATTGTCTCTGCAGGACCTAAATGCAACTTACTTCATGTTTCCACCACTAGAATTAAGAAGTGTTTTTAGGGTTTTTTGTTGTTGTTACTTCCAGCAGCTTCAGGCTACCTACCCCTACCTTTGTGACTGGCATTTCCTTGAGACTAAACAACTGCTAGTGTGAAAGTCTTGGTAACCTTCTCCTAAAGTCTCTAGTAAACAACCTTTAAATTTCTTCAAAAAACAATTTTTATAAAGCAAGAGAAAATATAAACTATAACTCACAGGTTTTGTCAGTTATAACTATAATTCTGAAGAATTGTTTTTCTTTATTTAATGAAGGATATGATCTCAAGAGAATATCAAGATACCATGATGTATTGTGTATCATAGTTCATTATTTTACGGTATATCAGCTTTTGAATGAAAGCATCTGGGAGATGAGCAGAGCAATAATTTGATTAGAAGTATTGGCTGTCTGCATATACTTTTAAAACTATGATTTTTGGATGGAGCCTGTTCAAATAAGAACCCTGTGAGATAAAAGGCTAAGAAACAATAATGGGCCTATTCAATTTAATTCATGTTTTACAAGCTTAAAGAATTTTAACTGAAGTTGTGAAAATATAAGTTGTCATTATCTGGTGTCAGGTGTGAGCATGCTTTGGTTTTTTAGCTTCTGACTTCCTACATACCTTCATGCCTATGCCTGAGCTGATGTAAATTTGTCTAGTTTGGTGTTGTGATCTGAAAGAGAAATGTCCCACCACAGGCTTGTGTGTTAACTCCTTGGTCCCAGGTTGGTGGTGCTATTTGGGGTTGGGGGTGGGGCTTATGGAATGGCTACAGTGTGGAGGTTTGCTGGAGGAAGCATGTAGGAGGGCCTTAAGGATTTATGACCTTGCCCCATTTCCTGCTTGTTCTCTCTTGTGTGTTTCTGAGATATGATCCCTTACCTCCCTACTGCAGCCACCCACTGCCATAATGAACTCTATTCCAGTGGAACTGTAGGACAAAATAAATTCGTCCTATAAGTTCCTTTTTCCCATGGTGTTTTATCACTGCCACAGAAAGTATACATTTTTACGACAATATTTTCAAGCTAAATGTATTTAAAACTGAACACCACCACAGTAGCTGTGAAAATCTGGCAAATACATATCTGAAAGAGAAAATGATAATACTCACTTGTGCCTTCTTTGAATGGATTTATTACATGAAAGAGCATGACAAGTTCAAACATTGTACTTATTACATAGTAGACAGTAAATACCAATTTGCTCTATCTTCTTCTCCTACCCTACGAGTTCACCTGGAAGCCATGGAGTTTCCATCTTTCCTCAGCGATCTTGGAGTGTAGTCAGTTTGTCATGGACATTCATTAATGTACCTCTATCGTTCTATCATTGTTAATTCACTGATTGCCTGTTGCACCTCAGGTGTAATTCTTTTTGAAGAGAGTGGTGTATTATACTCAATGGACTATTTCAGAATAGATCATAATCAATAAGTATACATCATGTTCTGATGTGACCTTTTTCTCTTCACAGAGAAAAGAAGTAGAGCAGATAAAGAAGTTAAGAGAGTGAGAGAGCTGATAAATTCTAACTTCTGTAAAGGTGTGGATGGTTCTTTATAAGGTGACATTTAAATGTGACTGAGGTTGAGAAGTTAGTTATGTACTTACGCGGGGAAATAGAATTTCCGATAGAGGAAAAATACAGTGTAAAATTCTAAAGTAAAGGCTAAAATGAAGAACTGTAAGTAAGACCTGTCACTGAAACAAAGAATGAGAATTACTGCCATGTGTTCACAGATACAACCAACTGTAGACCAAAAACATTAGGAATAATTTTATCTGGGCTGAGCATGCACACACATTCTCTCAGAGTATACCTCCTGCAGCCATGATGCTTGGTCTTGCTTTCTTGAAAGGATTTAGAGTCGCTGAGAGACAGACAGACTTTTGGTTATGTCTGTGAGTACATTGTCCTGGGGGGAACACTTTCTCAAAATGGACAGCACCTTCCTGTAGGCATCCCAGATGAAACGCAGTCTGAGGAAAAAATCGTTTCACCTACATGCCTTCCTGTTTCTTTGTCATTGTGTCTGTCACTGCTGTTGCCTTCCTTGCTGGAAACTTCTTTTGCTTTCCAATGTTGATTGAATTTGTGAGTCTCCAGGGATTGCTGTGTCTGCTTCATGGTTTCTCTGTTTTTCCAGTATGTGGATGGCCAGTTAAACCGTCCAGTACCTATCGAGTAGCCAATCTAACCAATACCCACTTTATAATAAATGTATATTATTGTTGGTTACATTACTCTAAAGAACACATCTAATACACTAATGAAACTGTGACACTACATAGGTAGCATATTTATATTGTGTTAAGTATTAGAAGTAAACTAAAGATCATTTAAATATATAGGAAGATGTGTGCCAGTTACATTAA